CCTCAGTATCCTTCCAGGTTTGGTTCCAGGATCCCACTGGAACACCTCAATCCGTGAATGCTCAAATCCCTTAAATAAAAGGATGTATAACCTCCTAGTTTAAATCACCTCTAGATTACTTGTGATACCCAATGCAGTGCAAATGCTATGTGAATATTTAGGGAACAGTTTCAAGGGAAGGGCCCATACATGTTCAGTACAGACACGGTTTTTTTTTTTTTCCTGAGTATTTGACCTGCTGCTGTCTGAATGTGTAGATGTCAGGTGGAGGATGCTGAAGGCTGACTATGTGTAAGTGGGAGAGGCTGGGCATTGCCATGACTAATTGAAGCCTGGATGCTGTGCTGGATTGGGATTTTCAGCCACAGGTCTACTTGTCTTCTTTGATTTTTTTCTTCTTTTTCTTTTCTTTTCTCTGCTCCTTTTCCCTTCCCCCCATTCCCTCTTCCTATATTAATATTTAATGAATTTTCTCAGACTATTTTTCTTCATCTATTTTCCTTACTTTTTCTACTTCTCAGCTTGCCCTAATTGGATTTAAAAATTCATATCTGTGTTCTCTGTTTATAACCAAAAGGTTAGATAATTTAAAGTTCATATTTCTATCCTTTTGCTATATTAAAATAGTTCTTTTATTTGTGTATACACTAGAATTTTTGTAGCCTTTGAATTACTAGGTTTTTTTTAAAGGTTGCTCACAATGGGTAAATAATGAACAATTTATGTAATAATAGGGAAACAAAACTACTCATACTAATTGTAGATGCAAAATTACCAGTTATTAAAAATTTGAGTTTAGAGTTGAAATTACTATTGTTAAACATTCAAAATATTGTCCTTTCTGGAAATATTCTGAGTATTTTCTAGAAAATAAAAGACACACTGGGTTAAAAAAATACCCCATGAAATCAAGTAAGCAGACAGCGCTGGCTCCTCACAAAGCTATTTTAAGTTCGGACAGTATAATTTATATGAAGTATTAAAAATTTATATAGCATTGGTACAGCCAAACCATTCTAATACTTTATTAATAAGCTACTGCAAGAACATTTCTTCACTGAATTTAATGAAGGAAAATAATTAAACTGATGTTGGAGTCTTAATTCCCTGATTCTCTGAGACTATTTTTTTCATTTTCTCATTCTGCTGTATTCAAATGCAGGTATAGTGTTCAATTATAGACACTTTTTCTCTTCTTTGCTACCAGATTGCTGATTTTTACAATACATTAGTATACTCTGTGGATAACTTTGAAATACTTAAAAATATGTATGTGGAATAACCATGTGAGTATAGTGTTGTCACTTTGACTGATCAAACTTTAGTGAAACGGATGAGATAATTAAACAGGTGCAAAGGTGGGGCAAATTAAAAAGTTAAATATTGTTTGACTTCTTTTTCAATAGAACTTAGGGCCCAAAATGCTCAAACCTAAGAGAGACACTCCTACCCATCTGCTTTCCAAATCCTTGAATTTTATGGTCACCTCTCATCTGCTGTTTTCTCTTGTCTTTGTCCTTGTGGATTTATATATATACATATTTAATCTCTTAATTGTTACTTGAGTGGGTTATTGGGTGGAAATAGAGATCTGTTTTCACTAAAGTGAGTAGAATCAAACAATTCTGGTTAGTAGTTCACTTGTATAGAACCAATTGTTTTTTCTCCTCTAAGTTGTTATCACTAGAGTCACAAAGTGGCTGTCCCCAGCCATTACTGATTAGGAGATATTCTAAAAGTTGCATGTGCTCTAAAGATGAAGTTCAGTGTTGGAGTACTTGCATCGTACACACAAGGCTCTGGGTTTGATCCCCAGCACTGGAAAAACAAAATGAAACAAACAACATCAACAAAATAAAGAAAATCAAAACCACCAACAAACAACTAGTAGAAGATGCATATGACTTGAGAATTTCATTTTTGAAGGCCTGCAGTTCCCAGTGGGATTCTGAGCTTGTTAACTTCATGGAACAGTGTTATTATTTGAACAATATTTGGCTTTTGGAGTATTCAGTTATTTGGAAGTGGTTGGCTGAGAAAATAAAGGAACATACTTACCAGGGTTTTTAATTTCCTCTGACCAGCAAATAAGTTCCACTTATCAGATGCTCCATTTTTGTTCAATTTAATCAGCTCACTGACCGTTTTGGATCTGAACATGATGGTGTCTTTGGGGACACACATTGACTTTATCACATGTAGAATTAGTATTTCTTGTTCTTCTTCCTTCTATTTGTCCACGTCTAGGACCACTCTGTCTTCCTGAAAAAAAAAAAAAAAACAAGATTACCTTGTGGACCTTACAATGTATGACTCAGTTGGACCTTTTGCTGTTGTTGGCAGAGCCTTTTAGCACCTGCTGCTCATCTCCCAGACTGCAGATAGTAGTTAACAGCCAGACAGTAATTATTCAAGATCGCAGATCCTTGGGTGGAAGCCCCAAGGAGCTGACTGTCTAGTGTCACTGGGAATGTACTCCTTGGTCAGACTTATTCCAGTGGTTCACTGTTGTTATGCCTGTTACCTAAGAGGGGTTGTCTCTCCTCTTTCAGGGTTTATATTATACAAAGTACTTCAAGGTGTTATTTATGGTAGTATTTACAAAATGTTGCATAATTGCTAAAAATATTTTTCCATAATGCTTTTAAAAGAATTGGCATAAATTTAATAATATACTCAGAGACCTTTCTAATATTACTAATGTGAATACTAAATTGGAAACTACCAAACTGCTCTCAGTGCTGTATGTAACAACACAATTTTGATGCTAAAACTTTCTTATTGTAGTACCATCAGGAATTGAATGTTGCTTCCAGTCTCATTTAAAGTCCAGAAAACATGGTGATCCACATTCAGATATACAGGGAATGCAACCTGTTTTCTTTGATAATATGCTACCTTAATTCAAACAGGTAACAATGATCTTGATAGTGAGGGAGCACCTACCTTCACTTTCCAGCATAAGTGAGTAAAACTCAGATCTAAGAAAGGACTTGGGAATATTTTGTGAGGAAATGAAGAGTATTTTTAGAAAAATCTGAAAGTATCTTAGCTTTTCTTAGAAAAGTCAAGTAAATAAAAGTGTTTGCTATGTATTTCTAACAATCATTTGTCTTAAAATAGTCTTTTGGTGTGACTCAGAGTGCTAACTAACAAGTTTGATAGGATTTCAAATGCTTGTTAGAAGCATTTGAAGAGTCTGAAATGTAATTGCTAAATTTTGGCCTGGATTCTCAAATTGCTGAGATGTATGATACCATTTGTTCTTATAAGTTCTGGAGTTAAATACACAAATACAACTTGACATATTGTATGCAAATCAATATTTAGATGCAAATTTGCTTTCTGAGAGTATAAAAGCAACCTGTGTGTCTCTTCCACTCACCCAGTCAAATAACAGTTAAGTAATAAAAAGGGAAATAAACACACAAGGACAAAGAAGAGAAAGAAGATGATAGGTATGAGAAATATGCATAAAATTTTAGGATGTGGGAAGCAGATGGATGAGGGATAACTCTTACCTTTGAGCTTTTCTTGCTCTGATAAGTTCTATTGGGGGTGGGTAGGGAGCCAAGAAGCAGAAAGCCAATTCATGCCACTAAACCCAGAAAGGCCCAGGAATCGAGGGCATCTGGTCAAGAGTAGTTACATCTCTGATTTCTTTCCTATCCCATATAGCCAGGTGGTCATCCCATCCCTTGTCTTGTGTAGAAGCTCAGTTTATAGAGAAACACGAAAAGAAAGAATGATCAGAGAAATACTTCCCACAACTGAAGTGTATGAGTTTTCTCAGTTACCAGGTGCCACAGAGTGCTCAGTACTGTGAAGGATCAAAGACTCCCAAGGCAAGTCCTGAGTTTGCATGCAAATGGAGTTGAAGTCTTCTGAAAAGGGAAACAACAGATTTCATAGAAAATGCCCAACATTAAAATTATATCTAATTTTCAGCAGCAGCACCGGAAACTAGAAGACTGTTTGAAATGCCAAGAGAAAATAATGTATAATGTAACTTTCCTCTGCCCACCAAAATTGTGGATCTTCTGTGAGGGCTGAAAAGGAAATGTTCATCCATGTAAATTCTCACCAAATTTATCTTCCATGAACACTTTTAGCAGCGGATGCATGTCTTCAAAAAAGGGGGAGTACGTACCATGAGTGGGGAAGACATGGAATTTAGGATCTGATATAGAAGGCAGGCAAAGGGAGAGCCCAGATTAGTGCTTGGAGAAGGCGTGAGTAGCAGCTGTGCCCAGAAAGCAAGAGCAGACTGAAACATGAGGTTGAAAGGAAGCAAGGGGTGTCTCCAGAACAAAATGGATGTTGGGTCATACTGAGAGGAGTTTCAGAATACTCTCAGATAGTAGAGCTATCTATGTGCTAATTACATGTATAAATAAAGAGACAAGAAAATGAAGCAAAACTTCTAAAAAAATTAGAAGATGAAGCAAGAAAGAAAATGTAATTATAGTAGTACAGCTGTGAACAGTATTTGCAGTATTTGTTAAGTAACAATTTAACTAGAAACGGTGGATGTGTATTGGAATGTGGGGTGAAAGAGGTTTTCATGATTCTATATAGGAAGATAATTTCTAAAATGGAATAAATCAGGACCTAGCAGTATGAAGATTCCATTAAAAATATGTATAAATCCAAGAAGAAACAACTTGAAGAGTTAAAAGTGGTTGGCTTGGAGATGGGGAGGAAAGTTCTGTGTAACCACATCTGGTGAAATATATATGGCATCTATAATTTACATTGGCTTAATTTCCTGTATAGTCATTTCTCTTTAAATTTAAAACACACAAGCTTGTTTTAGAAAAGTGTAAGAACTGCCTAGCTCTATCCATGACTTCTCATCGGATTATTAATCTAGGATTACTAATACAGAGTGTGCATACATTCCCATCCTTGAATTATCTTACTTTAAATTTTATTTTGCAAAACCACCCAAAGAGTGTATAAGATAGAACCAGTCAATTAAACCTTCTTCTGCTTTGTAGGGTGGAGAGCACTGTTACTACCACGGAAGCATCAGAGGCGTCAAAGACTCAAAGGTGGCTCTGTCGACGTGCAATGGACTTCAGTACGTGGAATTCTCCTTGTGTTCTCCTTCCCTCCAGGCTTGCTTTTGACCATTCACTCTTAGCATTTTTATTTTCCCAGATATCTATTTTAGTGAGTCTTCTATAATGCATGCTTTTAATACATGTTAGGGAATGGATAGGGAGTAGTCATATGGAGCCAAAGTCCCTTTTTCTTTAACACTTAACAGTTTTCAGGAGATTCAGAGACTAAACAAATGATTACACAGGTTAAGACTGAATTAACATCTTGGTAGGTGCTGTAAAGAGGAAGGACACAAGCATATTAATCAATGTTCTGTTACTATACTACCTGAGATAACCAGCTTATAAAGATGAACGGTTTACTTGGCTCATAGTTTTGGAGGTTCTGGTCCACTGTCAGTTGGCCCTATTGCTTTGGACCTGTAGTGAGATGGCATATAATGTTGGATGCCTGAAGCACAATGAAACTGCTTACTGCATGGCCAGGAAGCAAAAGCGAGAGTGAGAAGGAGGCTGGAGTCCCGCAGTACACTTCAAATGCCTCCCCAATGACCTAAAGACCTTCTGCTAGGCTCCACCTCTTAAAGGTTCCTCCTCCTCTCAGTAGCACTGCTTGGGATTAAAGCTTTAATGATTGGGCCTTTGGGGACAAAGGACAGACCTAGTCCATGCAGGATCCCAAAGGTGTATTCCTAAGGACATCCCCATTGTATTATGCTCAGGTATAAGTAGGAGTTAGCCACGCAAAGGTGGGATAACAGCGAGGGGAGCTCACACATTGATTTAGACACCAGTTTCTACAGGACCACCCGTAAGCACCTTTTGGACCTGAATCTAGCAGTGGTGCCTCATGTGAAGATCTGGTTTTAGCTATATGATGGCTAAAACATTAAACTGTTTTTTCATACTTTATTAAAAAACTTACGTATCTCAAATTAAATGTGATTTATATGATATAGAATCATACTGTTTGGTGGGAATTCACAGTTTACAACCTTAAAGATGTTCTGGAGCTGATTGTGGTGGCTCCTGTCTATGATCTCAGCTACTCCGGAGGTGGATATTGGGAGAATTTGATTGGAGGCCAGCCGGGAGAAGATGTTAGTGAGCTCTCCCCATACCAACAAATCAGCTTGGTGTGGTGGTGCGTGCCTGTAATCTGAGCTGTGTGTTTGGGTGGGTGCTATAGGCATCTAAATTGAAGTCTCAGGCTAGCCTGGGCATAAACACGAGACTGAAAAAATGACTAAAGGACAAAAAGAGTACTGGTGGTATGGCTCAAGTAGTAGAGCACCTGGGTAGCAAGCGTTAGTCCCTGCATTTAAACCCTGCTTCCATCAAAATAAAAGAAAAAAAATTCCTGCTTGCTTTTTCAGAATCAGATGATTTTCAGTTATTTTTATGTGAAGGTCCTGTCTGTTTTCTTCTAGATGATACTTCATTTGCATAACTAGAAATTTGTACTGGTTGTCCATGGTTCCGTGATAACCTGAAATACTCCTCTACCTGAGTAGTCCTACCCCAGATTAATGTCTGATCTGCCATTTATCTTCAGAAGTGAATTCTATCAGGTGTAATTTGTATGCTCTTGGTATGCATTTACACTTTTGTAGCCTGCATGCTTTCTGACAGAGTGTGGGGACCGCAGTGGGAGCCATACAGATATTTAAGTTAGATTTGGCACAGTGTAAAGGTATTCAGATGCTCTCTTTATTTTAAAGACATGATGCTTGCCTGCTCTCTCTTGCTTGCTAAGTATTTGTTAATGCTTTCCTTGTGTGGTCTCTTGTGTTGGCAGTGGTATGTTTGAAGACAATACCTTTGTGTATATGATCGAGCCGTTGGAGCTGATTCATGACGAGGTGAGTCTGTGATATCAATTTCCTTATTGTGTTTGCTTTTCCAGCATCTTTGCCCTTGAGCAGGAAAGGGAAAATAAATACAGATTCCAAAGTGCGTTTATGCGTATTGTCTTATTTCAGACTTTTAAATGGGACCATGAATTTTGAAGCTTAAGTTGCTCATGCCAGGCCCGTATAACAGTAAGGACAGTCAGGCCTCGAGTTTGGCAAGCTTATGGAGAGAGCAGAGATGGCCTTTTGTTTTTCAGTGGCCAGCCTCTTATTTAAATTAGCATCCATTCTCACTGGATTTTTAGCTAAGTATGTGACTGTACATTTGCACTTAATTTCTGCTAGTCAGAAAATACTTAGTGGAGTAATTTAGGGGTTGAACTATGATGACATGATACAATGTTTAGTTTGGAGGTAGGGAAGAAAGTCGCGTTGGGTTGTGCACCGGCCAGCAGCCTAGTTAAGAAATGATATATTCTGGTAATGTGCATTATTAGAATGTAACCAGATTTTAAAACTGGTATATATATATTCATCAAGTATTGTATTGAGGACTTCCCACATGCTTGGTACTATTTTAGATGTTGGGATACATTAGTGACAAAATTGTCATCTTGAGCCTAATGCAGCTTCTACTCTACAGGATAGGAATGCACATGATAAATAAATATTTACATATGACATTTTAGAGATGGTATTTGCTAAGGAGAGCAGATGAAGTCAGCCAGGTGGAGAGGAGAATTACGTGTATACTCATTGTATAGGGAAGGCCTATACAATGGGTCTTTTAAGTAAAGACCTTAAAGAAATTGGAACATTCCTGGAGGTATGCAAATACAGAGGCCCTGAGGCAGGCGTGTGCGCAACCCTGTTGGGGAGGAGTGAACAAGGGGGACATGGAAGGAGCTGAACATTAAGTGGGGAAGGCAGATCAGTGAAGAGAACAGCCAGTGGGAGAAGTAGCATTTTGAGAGTGATGCAGTCAGACTCCTGCAGTCATTTGATGGGGAGCAGAAAGTTTTGTATCTTTAGAGCATGTAGTAACCATCTGTGCTATGATGACCACACTTAAACATGCAAACATTGTCTTGGTTGTAGCAGTGTATATATGAAAATGGGAAAAACTTCAAATTCGAGGCAGAGGAGTCATTAAGTTGTAAATGGTAGTATTTGAATAAACCTGAGCCATTGTTAGCTAGTAACTGGAAAAATGACCAAATAGTGAAGATGACCCGATCTAGATTAAGATATTTTGATTAAGTAAAATGACTTTTTCCCCTTATTCCACCACTAAGCAAATAGCTTTTGTACAGCAAAATTATTGGACTTATTCAACAAAAAAAATCTGACTAATTTTTGGCCTTGATTAATGACTTTCTTACCCTAAAAAAGTTAAATCCTAAAGAACAAAGCAAAAAATCCAAAATAAATAGTTTTCTGAGCTGTAGAGTTAACATATATGGAAACGAGATTATTTTTCAGTGCATCCTTAGTGGGGAAACTATAGATTCAGTACATGTTACGATATCTGTTAAACTGTTGAAAAGGTTTATATACATCTAAACTATTATTATCATAATGTTTCAGGAATTAACTTTTGCATTGTTATACTCCTTAATATGCTTTTAGGGGGCTGATTGTTACTTACTTATTATCATCTTCTTTTTTGCCTGCCTTCTTGACTACCTACCTTTTGTCACAGGATGATTCATCTCATCTTTCTCCTTGGGAGGGAAAGGGAATGGTTTGAAATTTCAATTAGTCAGTTTTAAAAATTGTGTTGCTTGAGCCAGATGAATTTCATTACCTAGGTATATTTTCACCTGTTACCAGAAATTAGAGCTTACTGTAACTGAATTTAGAAGGTTTTTTTTTTATTGTTGTTTTGAGACAGGGTCTCACTGTGTAGTCCAGGACAACCTCAAATCCTCCTGCTTCAGCTTCTTAAGTGCTGGGATTACAAGTGTGTACCTTGAGACCTGCCGAATTTAATTTTTTTGATGTCCTTTTTAACATGCTTCTGTAGTAAGTCAGGTAATGTGCACGGGATATTTCTGATGAGAATTCATGCCCCATATGCAAATTATAAATTAATAGCAAAATTCTAATTATTGTCTATTGTATAATCTTATTAAGAAGTGTCTTTTTGTGATTTATAAAACTCATCAATTAGTGGTACACACTGTAATCCCAGCTGACTGGTAGACTTATGTAGGAGGATCACAAAGTGTGAGGCCAGCCTGCACAACTTAGTGAGACCCTAACTCAAAATAAGAAGAAAGAAAGAAAGAAAGAAAGAAAAAAAAGAGCTGGGGATATTAGCTCAGTGGTAGAGTGCTTGCCTAATGTGTGAAAGCCTTGGTTAAATTTCCAATACTGAAAACAAAACCAACAAAGTTATCTAATAAACCTAATATAGGAAATTTGGAAACAACAAAATAATTCTTAACTAAATAGTAATTATCGTAAATAAGACAAAGAATATGAAATCTAATAAGAGTTAATACTAGAAATAAAACAAAACCGACCAACAACTAATATAGGGAAATTTGGAAAAACAAAATAAATAATTGCTTAACTAAATAGTAATTATCCAGTATTCCTATCCCAAAGATAATTTGTCTTCAATTTGAGCATACAATTCTTCAATTTTAGAATTGTATTATTACCATGTATATATTTTTAAATTAAATTAATACATTTTATAATATATTTAAACACAATATATATTTTCTGAGTCTCAATAATTTCAATTTTTTTAAGTGTGTGTGTTTGTTCTTCATTTGTAATTTGTCAATAAATATATACGTGGTGGGGTTCTCATTAGGATAAATTTGCTGATATTGCTAAATTTCTCTGTTACCAGTTTCATGCCACCATCAGTGAATAAGGGTGCTCTTTGCCTTGCCATGGTAATTACCTGTGATAGCATACTTTTTAAATCTTTCCCAAATTGAGGGCAAAAGTTGATATTTTGTCTTTTAAAATTTGCATTTTGAAGGTGTATTAAAACATTCAGTATTTCTTTTAAGATTTATGGACCTTTTGTGTTTCTTCCTGTAATTTCTTGTGGCTTAGGAGAAAGCTAAAGTTTAAGAGTAACTAATAAAACTGTGCTTTTATCTAAACTGGGCACTTGGAGGAAGCTCTGTTTTTATTTAGATTTAAGTTTCAGTGAGACATAAACTTTTTCAGTTTTGGTAGCTAAAAGTTTGACACATATTCCCAGTTAGGAAGGACATTAGAGAAACTCTTAATGCTAATCCATAGAGGCTTACTCACGTTTTGCTTTTTCATGGCCTACAATTGTTTTTGTTGCAGAAAAGCACAGGTCGACCACATATAATCCAGAAAACCTTGGTGGGACAATATTCTCAGCAATTGAAGAATCTAAGTAAGTTTTTAGTTAAAGTAGCCAATATGATATGTAGTAGGAGCTGTGACTTGGTGGAACTCTCTAGACATGTAGGCTTGTTGGGAGGTGGAATGGGTCTGAGATCTGGGGTCAGCAGTGCTGCTCTTCCGCCAGCTCAGATTGCCTACCTCTTACTCCTCAGGCATCTTTAGCATGCTAATGTCGGCAAAAGGCTTCTTTTGGATTTTTGGGCGTATGAGATGCTATCACTGTATTCTAGTGCCAAAAGAATTTATGCAGAAGTTTATGTCACATTATTTTTAATTCTAAGATGAATTAAGCATAGTAGAATTCTCTCAAATTTTCAGATATTGTTGGATGTTTAGGTCAAATATGCATCCTACAGTGAATCTTGCACAGCTCATGTTTTCATGATGGTGGAATCAGATGTTGGAACTGCCTTTGTGATCATGAGAGTGTGAAGTGTTTACTGACCAATGTACTTTTCACCCTATTTTATCTTGGCTTTGTCAGTGCACTGCTCCTTCACGTAATATTTGAGAAGTGTACTCCCACGGAATGCAGTCATGTTAGTATTCATTTGTCTCTTACGCAGGTATGGACGGCAGTGACCAGTGCCTTTGGAATCTGAATTGCAGTGGCTGAAGAGAAGGAAGAGAGCAGTGAATGTGAGTGTGCCTTCAGCCACAGATTAAGGCTGTTTGCTCAAGTCACATTGTGTGTCATCTCACAGTAGCAAAGTGTTCCTAGAACAGTTTAGATTTGGGGAATTTCCTCTTCAAAACCGAAACACAAACAAGAAAATCCCATGATGTGAGCCTTATCAACATACTTGCATTTAAATAATTATTTTATTAGTATATAATTGTTGTGCAGGGGAATACATTATGATATTTACATATGTATTTACAATTTTTCTTAGTTAGATTTCCCTCTCCATTGCTCTCCCTCTTCCCCCCACCCCCTCTTAGAACAATTTCAACAGGTTTCATTCTTCTATTTTCATATATAGATACAAAATACATCCACCATATATATCCTCATCCCCCTTTTCCTTGTGTCTACCCACCTCCCACTAGTACCTACCCCCAGAAAAGACCTCTTTTTCCCTCCTGCCCTTCATTTTTAAAAAAGTATATATTGATAGTCCAAGGGGGTTTGTCTTGGTATTTCAGACCTATGTGTATTGCTTTATTCAAATCAACCCCTCACCCCTCATTACTTACTCTCTGTCACCATGTTCCCCTAACATTAGATAATTTACAAGCCAATGCATTATATTATATTTATTTATAGATGGATTATTCCATATTTTTCATTCTCTAGCATTTTATTTACCTCTCCTGTCTCCAGTAGTCCTCTCAGACAGACTCACTAATACAATTTTGTTTTCTCTCTTACTATATATACAACATACTGCATTTTATTTATCTCTCTCTGTTAGTGATTCAAATTGATTAGTGTCCTATGAACCAGTATGTCACATTTAAGAATTTAGTGTTTCATGCTAATTTCAACATGTTTCTTTATGAAAATTATAGTACATTTTTCTAATAAAAATTTTTGAGGGGGTGATAATGGCTTATATAACATGATATAAAACATTTCTGTTAATAAGTTATAGGGAGGAAGTTAGACATTGAAATGTGGCTAATCATGTTTATTTGAATTCTTTCAAATTAAAAGCACTAGTATATCAAACTTTGAAGCTGGATGTGTTTTTCAGGACAGAATGAATCTATTTCTTCACAAGTGATTGACAGTTATTAAATGAAAATCATGTAATGATACAATCACCAACTATTGTATACCTCACTATATTGATAAATGTATAGGCTTTGTAACTGGAATTATGTTACTATTCTTTTTCATTATAGGTTAGAAAGCTGTAATGATGGGACTGTTTAGTAATTACATGGTGAATGCCATGTAACTAAGAATTAATTCCACAATTATAGATTGCATGGTAATTTACTAGATAACTTAATGAGTAATTATAGTGGAAATTGCACATTTCAGATAATGTTTTGCTGAATGTATTTTTTTTGTGTGTGGAAAAAAATTAGACCACCAGCCATCAAAAACTTAGTTGAAGGTTAAGTCATCCTCTTTTGTAGCCTATGTTGGTGTCTATGTGATTATGGGTACTTTTTTTTGTGTGTTTTTTATTTAGAGATCTCTTTTCCTTACTCTTGAAGATGCAGCTTGTAGTTATAGGTTTTATATAAGCCTTCCTTTCACAATGGTCCACTTCTAGACTGATCTGTGACTATGTACGTAAAGAAAGAAGAGCCACTATTACTAACCTTTCAGCTATGAAAAAGATTAAGTCTAAATGAGAGTCTGTACTCTTCAAGGGCTACCTACTATCAATTAAAATGTAGAAGAATTGGAATACAGTAACTGCCATGTTGTTCCTTTGAGAAATTGTATGGTGAAGAATGGCATTAGAATTGAATTATTATTAGAATTTCACCCCAGTGAGTTAATGTTTCTATTTGACTGTCTTGATACCTGTTTCCAGTTACCTGGAGTTAATCATAATTTATGTTATTCTTATAGAATTAATTTTAAGTAGATTCTCTTGATGTTTTAAATAGATATGAATACCTTCACCACATTTGAATGCCAAAGGAATGGAGATTTATTTATTTTAACCGGTATTCTGCTATACATTTTTCTGTAGAATAACTTTAGGTATAAAAACCATACAAAACCAACATGGGGTGTTCCCTATTCTGATGAGCACGTTTTAATTTTTCTTGGCAGTACTGGGGTTTGAACTCAGGGCCTTGTGCTTGCTAGACACAGTGACTGGTAGCATGCCCCCAGTCCTTTTGCTGTTAGTTTGTTTTCAAATACGGTCTCATGCTTTCTTGCCCAGGGCAGCCTCCAGCCACTAGCCTCCTACATGATGCCTCCTGTGTAGCTAGAATTGCAGGTTTGAAGCACCATCCTGGCTTGTTTTGTTAAGATGGTGGACTTGCTAACTTTCTGGCCAGGCTGACCTTGTGTTGGGATCCTCCAAATCTCCCCCTCCTGAGTAGCTTGAATTACAGTGTGAGCTGCCATGCCTAGTACCTGATGAGTACTTTAAGATAATGAAATGCAGTTCTTTTCTGAATGCTTCAGTGTTTGCTAACACTTTATGGAGGCTCTTTTATTATTTATTTATTTATTTAATTTTTTGATTCCTCTGACCAAGTTTCTTCTAAATTGTTCTACAACTTAACAGGAACATTAGAGCTGTTTTTATATAACTCACTATTCTGATCGTGTATTTTTATTTTCCTCAGCCATCTCGTGGTGTGTTTGAAGAAATGAAATATTTGGAGCTTATGATTGTTAATGATCACAAAACGGTAAGGAGAGACTCAATGGTGTTGTGCTCAGTACCTTACTAAAGAAAGGGTACATTCCAGGCTGGCGGAGTAGCTCAAGTGGTATAGTGCCTGCCTAGCAGGTATGAAGCACTGAGTTCAAACCCTAGTACCATAAAAAAAAAGGGTATATTTCACTTTAGATTTCATTATTATTTGTTAGTTCAAACCCTAGTACATAAAAAAAAAGGGTATAATTTCACTTTAGAATTTCATTATATATTTGTTATTTATTAAAGCCTAGATATATGACATTACTATTTTTTGGAATACATTAATGACTCTAATTTATTTCTTATGTTGCGGGATACTGGATTTTATAGAATTTTTCACAACTCTAAGCTTCTTTCTTTGTTGAATAATTATTTATATTCATAGATTAGCCTGTTGACATCTATCTTTCTTTGTTTTGGAATGCTGGGATCAAACTAGGCCTTGAATCATATGCTTGTCTAGCATTGATTTTTTTGGGGAGTACTGGGTTTTTTAACTCAGGACTTCATGCTTGCTAGGTAGGTGCTCTACTTTTTGAGCCATACCTTCCAGTCCTTTTTTCTCTGGTTATTTTTGAGATAAGGTCTCACTTTTGCCCAGCCTGCCTGTCTTTTTTTCCCATTGAGATGCGTCTCTCTAATTTTTGCTCTCAGCCTGACCTGGAACTGTGATCTTTCTGATCATTAACCTTCCAAATTAGGTAGAATTACAGCTGTGAGTCATTGCACCCAGTTTGCATTAAGATTCTTCTACTTTTCTTCATCTGTGTGGTTTGGTCATGCTTCCTCATTTTATTCTATATCTTTTTTCTGTGTCTGTAAATAAACTTAAGTGACAAAACATGTATAATAAAGATGTATCTAAAGAGACTACCTTTAATCAATGATTTATTTCATCATACACTAGAGACATGATTAATTCTTCTGTGGAAGAAAAATATTGATTTGAACATGTGATTTCATCATACTGAATAAGAAAAAGACATAGGCGCATCATCACCTTGCCTTTGTCTCTCTAAAGATCAAGTAGGAACTCTCCTAGCTGTGCTGTGCTCAGCCCTTTTCCCTATCACAGGGTCTTGGCTGAGGCCTAGTGCATGCTGGAGAGTCTTGGTTAGTGGCTCTGGTGCTTCTGTACCCAATCCTAGTGGTGTCCGGGTAAGTCTAACCCAGCTCTGGGAGGAGAAAACTATCTGATTTCCATGCTGACCTCCATAGTGTTAATGTCCCATCCTGATGATTTCAAGCTATCCAAAGTGAGACCATGAGTGAAAATGTATGGTGAAGATGTGTCCAGTTTCAACATCACTGCCACAATCTCCAAACTGTTATAGGACAGTTGTTGTATTTTCATCATAGTTATGTAGTTAATTCTAAAAATCATATACTATGAATTAGTTTGTTTTATGAAATAAAGTTACATTTCTGGAAAGACTTTTATAAAGATGAGAATCTTTTAAAAAATCAGATATGGGTGAAAAATGTAAAGAATTGGGACAAAATTCAAAGTGCCTTGCAGTATCAAGTCCTTGCTTTACTTTTAAGAAAATCAAAATTATTTTTATTTTTAATTTTTGCAAACTTTTTTTTTTCTTTATTCATATGTGCTACAATGTTGGGTCATTTTCTCCCCACTTCCCGCTGTCCCTCCTTAGCCCCCACCCCTCCTGCTCCCCCACCCCTCGCTACCAGGCAGGAGAAACTTTTTGCCCATATCTCTAATTTGTTGAAGATAGAGTATAAACAATAATAGGAAGGACCAAAGTTTTGCTAGCTTGAGATTAAGGAATAGCTATAAAGGGAGTTGACTTGCATTGCTTTCCTGTGCAGCTGTGTGTTACCTTTTAAATTAATTTCTTCTCAAACTAAGCTTTTCTCTAGTCCTGTTCCCTTCTCTTATTGGCCTCCATTGCTTTAAAGTATCTAGCACTAGTTTCTTCTGCCATTGAGGCAACAAATTGCTAGCTAGTTTTTGGTGTCTTACTATCCTTATACCTTTCTTGTGTGTTCTCCGCTTTATCATGTGATCAAAGTCCAATCCCCTTGTTGTATTTGCCCTGATCTAATGTTCCGTATTATGATGGAGAATATATGATTTTTGTTCTTTTGGGCCAGGTTAACTTACTATGATGATGTTGTCCAGTTCCATCCATTTTTTTTTACTGTTTTATTATTCATATGTGCATACAAGGCTTGGGTCATTTCTCCCCCTTTGCCCCCATCCCTCCCTTACCACCCATTCGCCCCTCCCCTCCCCCCACCCCCTCAATACCCGGCAAGAACTATTTTGCCCTTATCTCTAATTTTGTTGAAGGAGAGTATAAGCAATAATAGGAAGGACCAAGGGTTTTTGCTGGTTGAGATAAGGATAAGCTATACAGGGAGTTGACTCACATTAATTTCCTGCTGTGCATGTCTTGTGTTACTTCTAGTTAATTCTCTTTGATCTAACTTTTCTCTAGTTCCTGGTCCCCTTTTCCTGTTGGCCTCAGTTGCTTTAAGGTGATCTGCTTTAGTTTCTCTGCATTAAGGGCAACAAATGCTAGCTTAATTTTTACCTTGCAATGATAACATTTCATTCTTCTTCATGGCTGCTAATTTCCATTGTGTATAAATACCACATTTTCTTATCCATTCGTCAGTAATTGGGGCATCTTGGCTGTTTCTATAACTTAGTATTGTGAATAGTGCTGCAATAAAATGTGGGTATGCAGGTGCCTCTGGAGTAACCTGTGTACATTCTTTTGGGTTATATCCCCAAGAGTGGTATTGCTGGATCATATGGTAGATCTTATGTTTGAGATTTTTAAGAAGCCTCCAAATTTTTTTCCGAGTGGTTGTACTAGTCTACATTCCCACCAACAGTGTAAGAGGGTTCCTTTACCCCCCCCCCCCCCCCCGCATCCTCGCCAACACTGTTGTTGTGGTGTTGCTATGATGGCTATTCTAACGGCGTGAGGTGGAATCTTAGGGTGTGGTTTTAATTTGCATTTCCTTTTATTGCTAGAGATGGTGAGCATTTTTTCATGTGTTTTTGGCCACTTGAATTTCTTCTTTTTGAGAAAGTTCTGTTTAGTTCACTTGCCATTTCTTTATTGGTTCTTATTAGTTTTGAGAATTTAGTTTTTTTTAAGTTCCCTGTATTATTCTGGTATCAGTCCTTTGTCTTGATGTGTAGCTGGCAAATATTTTCTCCCACTCTGTGGGTGTTCTCTTCAGTTTAGAGACCATTTTTTTTGTTGAACAGAAGCTTTTTAGTTTTTTGAAGTCCCATTTATCTATCTATCTCGTTAGTTGCTGAGCTGCTGGGGTTTCCATTGAAGAAAGTCTTATGCCTATACCTTCCTATTAGTTCCAGAGTATTTTCCTACTCTTTCCTGTTACCAACTTTAGAGTTGTGGTCTGACATTAAGATCTTTGATCATTTTGAGTTAATCTTTGGTATAGGTGATAAACATAGATCTAGTTTCAGTTTTTTGCAGCCTGCTAACCAGTTTTCCCAGCAGTTTTTGTTGAAGAGGCTGTCTAAGAAATCAAAATTAGATTAGTAGATGATAAGACAAACTTGTGTTTCATGCTTGATGGACAGCATAAAATTCTAATAAGCAGATCCTTCTTACAGAAATCCTTGAAGCTGTACCTTAAAAAAATAATGATTTAGCTGCATGCACACCTGTAATCCCAGCACTTGGGGAACTGAGGCAGGAGGATCATGAGTTCAAAGCCAGGCTGAGCTACATATTGAGACCCTGTCTCAAAAACAAACAAAACAAAGCAAAACACCTCAAAAACTGATGATTTAATTTATACTTATACTTTTATTTACATCTCCTACTTCAGTGGATGTTTAAATTGCCATGTACCAGTTCAGTTGTGTTCCTCCTATTGTCATATGCAGACTTGTCTTTTGTACCAACCTTGAATATATTGCCTGTGATATGTTAGTAAGAAGCAGAACTTAGCACAATTACGTACAACTGAGGAGAGGTCTTCCCTGGTAGGAAGGAAAATCAAATGTACAGACAGTGATTTGAGATAATGAAGCTAAAATATTAGTTTCTGAAGGAACAATTAAAATAAGGTTAATTCTTTCATCTGGAATTATTGTTAATTGGGAACATTGAGATTTTTTGCCAAACACACACACACAGTGCCTTTGAAAGTACACATACATTCCCAAGTATCAGTGATCAGTTGAATCAGTTCTCAGATCTTGACTTGTAATTCCAAATTTCTTGTTCCACAATACCATGCATGAAAAAGGTATACGATGCTGTCACTTCAGACATATCATAATAACTGTTGCACAAATAGGAAAACTGATAAGTTGTTAAAATATCACATATTTTGAAGTTCTATTCCTTTGTTTTTTGGGGTGCTAGGGATTGAATCCAGGGCCTTGTGTATGCTAGGCATGCATTCTACCATTGAGCTATACCCCCCAGAATTTTTTTTTTTAGTCTTTTAAAATGGTAAACACTTAAGTAATCTTATCTTTATCTTACATAGAAATAGCACCTTAAGATACTGTTTTTTACACAGAAAAACTTTATTAACATTATTATGATACTATTCTGTTGATAAAGTTAACTTCTTTAGGGTCTAACGTCTTTTAATTAAAAAAAGCTAGTTATTTTTACCAGCAAATCTTGGTAGTTCATTTTATTGTAATTATTATTAACACGGATGAGAACTGGGCATGTTATGTTTGTCTTTTGAACCTCCCCCCCAAAGAACTATGAAATTTGTAATGTTGAATTTAGAAGGGAAACATTGTTAAAAAATTGAAAAAAAAAGGAGAAAGCTTTTGTTCTCTTCAGTAGTAGTAACGCCTGTGTGATAGAAAGATGTCACCTAAGAAAGGTTCTACTTTTTTAAATCGCTAATTACTTCTGGAAGAAATAGAACTAAATTTATCCTTTTGCTCTAAACCAAGTTACATTCTGTTTTGTATACAGTCTCAAGTGTATCTTTTTATAAGATTTTTTTTTTCTTTTTGAGTTAAAAAAAGCCTTTTTTTGAGATGTTTTTTAATGAAGGTGGTAGTTTTTAATACGATTGTCACAAAGATGTGGCAAATTACACCATAGATCAGGAGTCTCCAATTCACATTCGAAAGCCACCCTAAAACTAAGAATTAGCAAAAAATACTCCGATTTGTCATGGTTTGGAGGACTTGCTTTGGGCTCAGCCTAGGTGTCCTTGCTGAGAGGACTCATCTTACATTGTTTATCCTATGTGGGACTGCAGGTTGTTCTGCTGTTAACTCTACCTTTTGGGTGAAAATACAGTCCTAATTTTAATATTTTTCATTTTTTTTGAGATGTTCTTTATATGAGGTGGTAGTTTTTAATACGATTGTCACAAAGATGTGGCAAATTACACCATAGATCAGAGTACTCCAATTCACATTCGAAAGCCACCCTAAACTAAGAATTAGCAAATACTCCGATTTGTCATGTTTGGAGACTTGCTTTGGGCTTCAGCCTAGCTTCCTGCTGAGGACTCATCTTACATTGTTTATTTCCTATGTGGAGACTGCAGTTGTTTCTGCTAACTCTTACCTTTGGGTTGAAAATAAGTTCCTAATTTTAATATTTTTCAAAAGGCAAATTTCTTTTTTTTTTTTTTTTTCATTTTTCTTTTATTATTCATATGCATACAAGGCTTGGTTCATTTCTCCCCCTCCCCCACCCCCTCCCTTACCACCCACTCCACCCCCTCCCTCCCCCCTCAATACCCAGCAGAAACTTTTTGCCCTTATTCTAATTTTGTTGTAGAGAGAGTATAAGCAATAATAGGAAGGAACAAGGGTTTTGCTGGTTGAGATAAGGATAGCTATACAGGCATTGACTCACATTGATTTCCTGTGCGTGGTGTTACCTTCTAGGTTAATTCTTTTTGATCTAACCTTTTCTCTAGTTCCTGTTCCCCTTTTCCTATTGGCCTCAGTTGCTTTAAGGTATCTGCTTTAGTTTCTCTGCATTAAGGGCAACAAATGCTAGCTAGTTTTTTAGGTGTCTTACCTATCCTCACCCTCCCTTGTGTGCTCTCGCTTTTATCATGTGCTCATAGTCCAATCCCCTTGTTGTGTTTGCCCTTGATCTAATGTCCACATATGAGGGAGAACATACGATTTTTGGTCTTTTGAGCCAGGCTAACCTCACTCAGAATGATGTTCTCCAATTCCATCCATTTACCAGCGAATGATAACATTTGTTCTTCTTCATGGCTGCATAAAATTCCATTGTGTATAATACCACATTTTCTTAATCCATTCGTCAGTGCTGGGCATCTTGGCTGTTTCCATAACTTGCTATTGTGAATAGTGCCGCAATAAACATGGATGTGCAGGTGCCTCGGAGTAAACAGTCTTTTGGGTATATCCCCAAGAGTGGTATTGCTGGATCAAATGGTAGATCGATGTCCAGCTTTTTAAGTAGCCTCCAAATTTTTTTCCAGAGTGGTTGTACTAGTCTACATTCCCACCAACAGTGTAAGAGGGTTAAAAGGCAAATTTCTTAAGGGTTTCATTTATTCAGGAAGTAAAAGCAAATTTGCCAGTTTATATGTAAATTGTTTTCAGTGAACAGAAAATGTGAAGGTAAGTTTTATCATAAATGGAGATTGCACATTTTTATTTATTTGCAAAATTAGTTCTCATTCATGCAGGAAATAGAAACATTCTACTCATATTTGCATTCGAGCTCACCTCTCTAATTCAGAGGAACCTAATATTGGTTGCCAGAGAAAATGCACACACACATGCATCGTATTATCAGTGGCTTTCAATTAGAAAGAAAAATCTCTCAATTTTGTAGGAAGCATCTTAGTTCCTAGCTGGCGGAACCTAATTTGTGAGCCAATTATAGCTTGATAAGAGTCTGCAAACATTTCTTGGAGGCACTTAAGCTAAAAATAAATATTAAAAACCTTCTATTAGAAAATAGGTTGAAATATTCAACGTGCGTGGAAAGCAAGTGTTTTGCTTACATTTTTGCTTTATTACTAAGTATGAACCAAGAAGTGCAAATGTATGATGATAACTCAAATAATTTTCAATGTAAACCTCATTTGATTTTCCTTATTTAAAAACCATTGTATTTTATAGACATCTAACAAGTTCTCTTCAATAATCATGATTTTTTGAAATATGCATAAACTATTTAATAAGAATTTTTAACTGAAGTTTATCTCCTGTCTGAACCCAGAGTGGGTTTTGAATTTCAGCCATGTGATCATAGATAAGTTATTTGGAGATTTTTTAAAAAGCTCATTTTAAAGAGTTGCAAGAAACAAATATTTGTTAAGAGGAATATATATCAGAGTTCCTAGTAAATCCTAGGTACTCAATTAAATGGTGTTTTAATTGAACAAATCTAGTATCCCTTCCTGCCTGCCTTCCTTCCTTCCTTCCTTCCTTCCTTCCTTCCTTCCTTCCTCTGACTCAGTGAGGGCTAGGGCTTGGTATATTTGGATCTCAAGAGATACAGCCAGTGGTGTGGATCCCTCTACATTTGGAGCCGGAACCTGCACACCTTTTGATAGGCCCCTAGAGGAAGAGTTAGCTCCAGCCATGCCCCCAGGTAGCATGTATAACTGCAGAGTGTGTCCAGCTGGTCACTCAGTTTCACTTTAGTTAACTGCTCTGTGAGCTCAACAGTGGGCTGAGCTCTGGGACATTCAGCCTGGGAGCATCTTCCTCCTCTGCGGGCCTGTCCAACTCATCATGTTTTCTGTGGGCATTAAACTATGACAGGTTGTCTCTGAAAAGAACACGTTAATATTCAGAAGCAAAATAAAGTTAATCTGTATGCAACACCAGTGCATTTGGGGTAGGTGTCAGCTACTGTGTTTTTGTGTGGGACAAATGCTTTTTAATGTCAAGACTTCAAAAATACATATACAATTCCATGGCATTTAGTACCTTTGCAGTGTTGTACAACCATCACCCTTAGTTCCCAAACATTTTTGTCACCTCAAAGGAACTTAACGTTAAAACTTTTGCTTTTATGCTTAAAAGGTATCTTTGAAATTTTCAGCTTGAAGAAATTTCTACGTAACTTAAAATGCTGAGCTATATGCAGAAACTTCTTTATGCTAATTTTAAGAAACCTGTTAAAATGCCTGAAAGAATTTAGATTAATGTGATGTTTTATGACCCAGTCATGAGCCTTCATTGGAGCTTATTTTTAAAAGAACACACTAAGACAGTTTGGATCAGGTTATGATGCATGGTGGCAGCAGTCATATGAATGGTAATGTTTTACAATAGTTAAGAATTAATGAATGCTACAAGAAGCACAATATTAGTCAGTCGATTGCACATTTATCATGGGTCATCAGTTTTCTCAGTATTGTAGAAATAAACATGATATAAATAAGCATTAAGGCATGCTTCCTTTGATTAGAAATAAAAGTCTTAGAGAGTGAAATGAAGGGGCCTGACATCTTTAGGGTGACAGTGGGCAAAGGATGCAGCATTTCTCTGGAGGAACATATGAAAACCATGACAGATACATTCCCTGTCATAGAAAACATCTAAAGTGCTATGTAAGAAATTTTCTTGATCCGTGAATGGCCTTGAGCTTAAAGAGGGAAAGATGTCCATTGACACTACATTTTTTCTCTGAACCCTTTACAAACTGTGACTGTCACTTCAGTAAAAATGAAAGAATTGAATAGGTAGGCACTAATGCTGAAATAAAAACTATTTCTTAGGGGTAAAGCTTCTCACACAGATTCCTATAGGTCCTTTCCATTACCTGGAACAGCATGGGTGTTTTAGATGGAGTTTTGCTGCCCAACAGAAAGAAAAAGAAAAAGGAACACAACACCACTATATCTAATAAGGCACAAACCAAATTCTGTGTTTTTGATCCTCATTTCTACTCTTGCTAAGAGATTTCTACTTTTACAGAATTTTGACATTTACCATCAAATATGATTGGTACATCTCTTTTCCCCCCCAGTATAAGAAGCACCGCTCTTCTCCTGCACATACCAACAACTTTGCAAAATCTGTGGTCAACCTCGTGGATTCTGTAAGTGTCCTGGTTTTCTTGAGTGTTTTTACCAAGATGGCATGTTTATGTCTCTGTCTCTATTTCTCACTTGTTGCATTGGCTATTTCTTAGGCAAGGGTAGAAATGCAGTCCCCAAGTTCTTCTGGCAAAGGACAGGGAAAGATACAGCAGAGTCTGTCTTCACAAAGGGTAGTGTTATCGGAATCCCAGAGGTGCATTGGCATTGCTACTTTCTTTTCTATTTATTTACTTTATTAATTACTGCTTTAATTGTATGTATATATGGGTGAGTGTGTACAATGTATAATCAAGTCAGCGTGGTTAACATTGCCATTTCAATTAACATGTAATAATTGTTTAGCATTGCCTTTAAGTAATGTCCATACCTTATTGTACCCAGTGTCCATGGGGGACAAAAAAGCAATGGAGAAAATTGGCTACCAAAAGAGTGAAAATTATATTTGGTAAATGAGACTTTGCTAATAACTTGAGCTTTTCTTTCTTTTTTTTTTGTGGGGCTGGAGTGTGAACTCAGGGCTTTGAGCTTGCAAAGCAGGCCCCCTACTGTTTGAGCCACATCTCCACTCCTGAGCTTTTCTTAAAAATAGTGTTAGTAGAGAAGATGTAACAGATCTTTGGAGAATACAGATAAAGTTTAAAATTTTTTAAGAAGGACACATTTATTAGTGTTCCATAGTGGAACGTGTCAGATTTCAATTCTAGATGACAGAATTAGGTAGAGTCCCCAAATGAAACTAATTTGAAATACCAAATTATATACATCCTTCAGAGACTTCTAGCCCTACAAATATTTACTATGGATATGTTTTTACTCCTTTCATTTATTGTTATAAGGAAAGATTAAGATTTTCTTACTTTTTCCTGCCTTAGGTAGGAACTCCATAGATCTGAAAAATATGAGTATGTTCCATAAATAATTCAATTTGACTAGCATAAATTAAATATAGCAGACTACTTTTCTAATGAAAAATGCTATTTTATTCAGCTAAGTATATTTTATCTGGTATTTATTGTATATTTTCTCTTAACTGTGAAAAACATCTTTTTTTTTATAAATTGCCAAACATCTAAATGATATTTATTTACTCCAGGGAGCTGCCTTTCTTCCTGCCTTTTAAACAGCCCCAAACCACCAGTCATGTAAATATTCATAACATGTTTTGTGTACCTAGCATCTGTTACGTGCCTGGTAGGCACAGCTGAGCAAAATTATAATATAAGTGGGTGTTCATAGAATATGTAATATAAAATTAGGATTGAACCTTGGGGAGCTAGTTTACGCCTGGTTTATTACTTTCTTTAATTTTAGCTCTTGTCAGTCTTCTCAGAGGAAATCTACTACTGAATATGGAAAAGTGAATCTTAAGCACATCTTTTCCCTTGTGAAAGCTGTTTACTTGGTAGCATCTCTGTGTTAGTCATTTTAGCATGATTGAACAGAATCACATCTTGCAAAGTTTAATTTTTCTTTTATGTTATCATATTTGGTTCCGAAGCTGACCATGAATTTAAAAAAGATGTTACACTTAACTCACTTTTGTGTAAAGTCATTATAGCTTTAGTTTGCTTCACTTTATTCCAAGATCATGCATTTTTTTCTCAATTAGTTTGAAAATAGGATAAAATGACAATACCATTGAAGTTGCTTAATTTTGTGAATTGCTTAGCTATTTGGCCAAAAGTAGAGAAAAATAGCAGAAGGGCAACACCATAAATATTGTGAATGATGTCACCCTATGACGAGGGTGAGGGCGGAGATATAAATCTGCTTTTTCCCTCTTTTGGCCTCGTACTGTGTTTCTCTACCAGTTTTGTATTGATTTTCATATAGCATGGCTTCACAGGTGGGCCAGCCATACTGTTTGAGGAACTATTCCAATCCTGCCAGCACAGCGGGTTCTGTGGTTCTTAGAGCCAGCGTATCAGTCTCCCACCTTTCACTTGCTGTGAGGTTTGGGAAGGTATCAGTTTATGTCCTGACTTGAGACTTTTGACAGCCCTACATTTCTGCTTTCTCTTCCTTCATGAGATGCCAGACCATTAACAGTGCTTATCTGGGGTAAGATTGACCTTATGGGAGAGTAGGAAACATGACACCGAATTGTGTGATTTTTCTTTCTTTATTTTTTCTTTTGGAAAAGAGAAAGGAAAAGCAGATTCTTTATGATGAGCTAATTCTGCCCCCATGTTCTCTCCACCTCCCCTTCCTGTCCTTCCACTGACTCTGACTCACTGATTGTGCATGTTTGACCCAGTGTCTTCCTCCTGCACCTGTCCTGTTGTATACCCTCAGATTTACAAGGAGCAGCTCAATACCAGGGTTGTCCTGGTGGCTGTAGAGACCTGGACAGAGAGGGATCATATTGAAATTACAAACAGCCCTGTGCAGATGCTCCATGAGTTCTCCAAATATCGGCAGCGTATCAAGCAGCATGCAGATGCCGTGCACCTCATCTCGTATGTACTTCCTTAGGCGTGTGTGTGTTTGAACTCAGGGTCTTGTGCTTGCTAGGCAGGTGCTGTACCGTTTGAGCCATGCCCCCCAGTCCTTTAGATTTTTATTGTAGTTTTTGGCTTCACATTTATTTTTATCCCCTTACTATATCAGTGAATTTGCAAGTCAGAAATAGTGACTTCATCAAGGTTACTGTTGATGCCCCTCTCTGTTATATGAGAAGTATGGAGTTCGAATTCCAGTGCTGGAATACTGGTAGTTCCATGGCCATGATTTCTACTTTCAGAGCACAGACCTTCCATACACGATGGCTGCCTATGTTCTAGCCCTTGTTACAGGCCAGGCTGCAGGAATGAGACAGGCAGGGAGAAGGGCAATAGGACACTTCTTCGAGCTAAGTCACCCTTTGTAAAGCAGATTTCCTGCTGGGATCTTAGTCTCATGGCCACACTTACTGTAAGAAAGTCTAGGAAAGGTAGTCTTTTTAGATGAATCATTGTATATTGTTGATTTTTCTTTTCCAAGGTTCTGCCTTGGAATTAAACCAACCCAACTACTTCTTCCTTCCTTCTCACCTTTACCCTTTACTTTCTTTTCTCTGTCTTTAATGATCAATTTATAATCAGCAATATTTGTATACCTCCTGGGTATTCTCTACAAGTTATACAAAAAAGTTAGAGTATGTTCCACAGCCCCTGATTTTGTGCAAGTATCTGATGCTTCATTGGTACTCATTAATGCTTAACTCTGCTCGGATTATTTTACACAACATGATTTTAAAGTTTGTGTTATGAGAACACAAACTTAAATGTTTTTAAAATACACAGTTTTGGTTGTCTGCGGGAGGGTAGTTTTTATGGGATTCAGTGTGGGACTGTAGACCTGCTTTGGCAGAGTTTCTATGGTCACTACATTGGTGTTCTAACAGTATTTGTTTTCTTAAGGCGTGTGACATTCCATTATAAGAGAAGCAGTCTGAGTTTCTTTGGAGGTGTTTGTTCTCGCACAAGAGGTGTTGGTGTGAATGAGGTAAGTTTCGCCAGTTTTCTTTAAGTGAAGCTTTGTCTTTGCATCTGATCTCTTTCTTCCTTATTGGTCCAGTTTACATCTGTTTTCATGTTTATTTTGAATAAATGACTTGCGAATGTGGGATGTGAATGGCTTAGATTAGTAAATAGAATCCAAATTAGTCCTTTAGGTATCATTTTGGTTTTGGTGGTTCTGGGGGTTGAACTCAAGGCCTTGCACTTGCTCCGTCACTTGAACCACCCTGCCAGCGCATCCTAATGATAGTTTTATGTATTTGTCAGGTAAATTCAAGCCAAAAATTGGCTTAGAGATTTTTAGGTCTTTACAGATAAAATGTTGTTTTTATAAGCCTATTAATCCTGTCCTTACAACTTTTTTAGTTATAATGCTCTTGTGCACATTAGATTTAATACATTTAAATCAAAGAGTTTATATTATTTGTGTCTTTTTTCCTCCCTATGTAAACTTTTTTACCTTCATGCCTTTTACCTACCTATTTATAACGTTAATTGAAGCAAATTATTTTCTTTGTATCATTGTTTGGATATTTTTTTTTGGCAGCACTGGAGTTTGAACTCAGGGCCTCATGCTTGCGAGGGAGGCCTTCTTATTGCTTGAGCCACTCCACCAGCCCCATTGTTTGGATTTTGATGTCTTTATATTTTTGATGTCAAAAATACCCCCAAAACCTCACCAACTATGTAAACTCTGGTCACTACCAGAATATGTTTTGCCAGATAATCTTAATAGCCATAATTCAGTGGGGACCTCTCTTGATGTATTTGTAGTAAGTTTAATTTATTCTTGGTTTGAATTGGAGCACAGTCTTTGTGACTTGTATTTTTGTGTTTCCATGTGGGAACTTCATGTTCTGGGAGATAGGAATGGGGGCTTTCTGCTTCTTGGGCCCACTCACAAGGCAGAAGTAATAAGGAGCATATGCCATCTTTAGCTGTCATGAGGCTCTACTTAGGGAACTGAGATGATATGTGGTAACAATTAAGAAATAATAACTAGCTTTGTGCACTCTCTCAAATGTTTCCCACACACTTTCAACTCTGAAAAACAGTATGGTCTTCCAATGGCAGTGGCACAAGTATTATCGCAGAGCCTGGCTCAAAACCTTGGAATCCAATGGGAACCTTCTAGCAGAAAGCTAAGTATGTACATTGACATTCTTACTCACATTCATGTGCCATTCTGTTTTATAATGCATGTCTAGTCAATAAATACTTTTCATTTTTAGGTCATCATATTTTAATCATAGTGTATTTCCTTCCTCTCAAAAATTATAAAACAAGCCACTTGAGACAATTATTAATCTTTTCAGGTTGAAGACATTTCCCTTTCAGAAATCTATAAAATCATGCCTGGTTTCTCAGAGCACAAGTCAGTTCTTTTTCACTTTTCAGAATGTCTGGGTCCAGGGTAGTGAACATTCTCCCTCTGTGTTCTAAGCAGTTGAGTATAGACATAAGATGCTCGGTGATGCTGCCTCACAGATTTATCAGTGGCACAGTTGGGATTAGAAATAGATGTAGAGTGAAAAAGGAGCTCACATGTAAGCTCTAATTCCATTTGTCTGCATGTTGCATTAGAAAAGTTAGAGAAGCTTCACCTAGGCAAAGCCCACCCTCCCACCCCTGGCCTTTTAAGATTAGAGTGGATGAAAGAGGATAGAATTCACAAGTACACAGGCTGGTACAAGAGGAAATCCAAACAGGCTACTTATTCCATGTAGTTCAAAAGCATGATGAGTGACTGTTAATGTCACCTTTTTCATTAACCAAATGAAAGATGGAAAGCTAGGGCTGACTTGTCTAGTGAGCATAGTGTTTATGGCCTGCTGTAATTTTAGGGGCCCATGAACATTTCTAATCTCTCTTAAGATAAGAATAAAGTTCAACCTGGATTATATTCCTCTTTTTACCAACACAGTGGCAAAATATAATTTTTAAGATCTAAATTTGAGAATGTGAACCTGTGGAAAGATAGACCAATGTGTTCATTCATATTTTCACTTACTGGAAATTAAGTAGCAGTCCCCTCCCTGGTGTGAAAATATGAAACACTAGGAGCAAAGATCTCCTTTTCATCCCTGTCTCCACAAAGAAGAAAAGGAAAAATCTGCCTTAGTATTATCATACATTTTATATTTTTTGGTCATTAATGCATAATACTGTGAAAAATGAAATAAAATATTCAAAAATACTCTTCCGCTGGGCTTCATGATCATATTAAGTGATGAAGTGCATACCCATCACCAGTGTCTGGAGGCATTTGCATGTCCATACACACTTGTGTTTACTAATACCGTGCTCAGAGCATTTGCTTTCCCAAGGAAATACCTACTCCACATTAACGGGGGTGTTTAAAGTTTTGTCACCTGGCATAGACACCTTAAAATCAGAAAGGAATGTCACTAGATTTATGACCTTTTTTGAAAATCCTGGAAGTCACACTGGGGTCAGCTGAGAGACTGGTTACTGGTCTGGATGGTATATTAGGATGAGAAGCCCATCGCCCATCAGGGTTTCTTTCTTCCTAAAGTTCTTTACTCCATTGTGAATTGTTTTTTAGGTAGCAATTTCATGAGTTCTGAGTTTGAGTTTTTTTTTTTTTTTGGGTTCTGAGTTTGAATTTTGAGAAGTCCATGTGGAAGTCTTTCTTTTTTTTTTCTTAAATATGTTTATAATTTATTTTATTATGATCACTTTAGTTTCCTCATGCTGCTATAACAACAAAGTACCACAAACTGGGTGGCTTAAAACAACTAAAATGTATTCTCTCGCATTTTGGAAACTAGAAATCCAAAATCAAGTATGGGAGGTTCATGCTCCCGCTGAGTCTCTGGGTAGACGTGGAAGTCTTTCTTTAGAGACATCTTTATCTATGATAGAAAAAAATGAAAAGAAGAGCCCATCACAATATAAAATATGTTAATCTTTGATGTGTAGGTTAAGTTTATGACTCTATTTAATTTAAGTGAGTATATATTCTTCTAGTTTAAGCTGTTGTCTTCTGTGAGACCTTTCAGCATATTGTTCTTCAAGCCTCTGGCTGATGCCAGTATTGACTCCTGCAAATTGAACTCTCTTTTCTGACTTCCAGTGTGCTCTGTTCAAAGAACTTCAATAATTTGTTGGATTTACAGAGAGCACCCAAGGATGCCATCTTGGGTGAGTCCCAGAACTACTCTGGGAGATAGGCAGAGAGACATTATTTCCATTTTAGAGGTGGAAATACCTTTAAAGAACACCAACAAATGCAGGCTTCTTGCCTATGTGACTCTCCTGTATGGTAGTTATACTAGAACTCAAGCTTTCCAACTTCTAGACGAGGGTACTTCTCACTAAATGTTGGAACTCAATTGAGTTGTCCAAGTTACAAAAATGAAAAGAGGTACAATTTTATTTCTTCCAGCTGTTTTTAAGAAAACAGCTTTCCTAATATTGGAAAGTATACTTTCCTATACTTGTGGAAAGGATAAGGAAATATTGATTTAAAGGAAATAAATTTTGTTATATGAGACTTCATAATCTGTATCTGTTTGACAAGGAATTGGTAATAAAGAATTTTTATAGGAACTGTAATGTATCTTGAAGATGTGACTTTTGTTTTCTCTTTCCTGTGTTGCTTTTATTGTTTCATTGGACTAGAATGTGACTGCACAGAATCCTGGGGTGGCTGCATCATGGAAGAAACGGGGTAGGTTCTTAGTACACATGCATTTGATGTATATGGCTTTTGCTAAAATTGATGCATATAATTAGAGACACAGTCTCTCAGGTATTGGTCTTTTAGGCTAAGCACTCAGTACAGATTCAACAATTAATTGTCTGATATTTTAAAACTGACAGGGCTAGTTCACTTTATATTTTAATTTTTTATTTAAGGTTGGTGATGAAAGTGAAATGTATTGCCTATTTCTCTGCTACTTATCTCTTAAGAATGCATTGCTAAATGCTTCTACATTTAGGAGGTATTAATTTTTTAGTACACTTAGAATAAAAGCTGGTTGTCTACCTGAAGTAGAAAATAAATTGAGTCATCAATTTACATTTTAAGGAGCTTGTAAAATATGTATGATTAAGTATTAAAAATTGAACTGTACTGCTTATAGAATCAGTAAAGTTTCCTTAATTAAGTCAGACTTACTGTGTCTAAATTAGAATCTTCTGGTGGTAGACATTTGAACATTCACTTACTTATCTTCTCTCTCTTTTTTGTTTTGCTGATACTTTGAGAACTAGAGCAGCTGCTGTTGCTTCAAAGGACTGAGGCCTGGAAATATGGCCCTTTTTCAGGGACTGCTGTCCCAAGGCCTCCCAATTTATAGCCTGACTCTCTCCTCTAAAAATAAAGTCTAGTAGGGTCATGAACTCCTTTTCTTCAGGCCAGAGTCAAAAAGGTGCTTGCCTTTATTGAGACATAGCAAATAAAAGTGATCATACTTTGAAAAATAACCTAGATGAAAGGTTTTTTAGTGAACTTTTTAACAAACCTGTTTCAAGACAGTTTTATAGGAGGACTTGTCTGCTGAGGAGGTTGTAATCAAGTCCCTACTTCTGTGATTTTCTTTGTATTTCTGGCTTTTACAAATGCTACCACACAAACTTAGTTAGCAATTTGAACATAAAATGCCTTGTCAAAATTTGTATAGATTAATCTGGATCCAGAATAAACATCTTGTTCTAATTCAGGGACTTTAATTTTCTTCTCTGATGACTGCTTTTGGTAAATTTCTTATATAATTTAATTAATTCTGTTTCCTCAGGGTATCCCATTCCCGAAAGTTCTCAAAGTGCAGCATTTTGGAATACAGAGACTTTTTACAGAGAGGGGGTGGAGCCTGTCTTTTCAACAGGCCAACAAAGGTTAGTCACTTAAAAAAGTGTCATTATTTCTCCAGTGTTAAATAGCAGATCAGCTACTTGTCTTAGAAAGTAGGTTTCATGTCAGTTAGATTAATATTTGGTTAGAAAAAATATTATCATATTGAAGATTGAATCTAGTTTTAATGAATGATCAAATTGTAGATCAGTGTTCAGTGCTGGTTATACCCTCAAGGCCTCCAAAACACAAAAATCCTTCAGTTAAAACATCTTTGAAAATTTACCTTATGGTTTTCACCTTGCTGCTAAGGGATTGGGGAGGAGGTAAGATTAAGATAAAATATTAGTTTAACCCAATTTCTCTGGTAAAAATTCCATTTCTCCTTGGCATTCTTTCTGCAGACCTAATGTCATCTTGTTTCTTTCTTTCTTTCTTTTTTTTTAGTGTCTGTTCTCCCAAGCAGGAAGTATTATTAATATCAGTCAGCCCAGAAAAGGTTCAAAATATTTATGGATGCTATAAATATTTTCAGTATTTATATTGTGTCGTCTCTTTACCTGAGGAGTCTATCTTAACAGTTGGCATTTTATCAAAATGTGTATACGCAATGTCACAATCTCTTATCCACAAATCCTGAATTTAAAAAATGGCAAGTTTCTAGAAGTCCAGTGTGCTATCCATTGTGCACAGAGTCACCTAAAAAATGGCAAATTTCTAGAAGTGGTTTTTATGAGTTTACAAAAATAAAAGCATTTGACAGTAAAATTCATCATACATTGGATTTTTCAAATCTCTCCTAATGTAAATATTTGTAAGTCTTACTACAGGTCTATTAAGATTTGACTGTAGGTTATGCCCCAGGCCCCTGTACATAGAGCGTAGTCAGTCATCCTACTTCTCTAAAATTCCGCAAAGCCAGAATTCTCAAACTCACTGGTTATGAAGCTTTTGGATTTGGCACTATATTAGCATCTTTAGAAGTAAATTTGCTCAACAGACAAAAAGGCAGGATTGATGCTAAGTAGGAAATGGTATAGAAATTCTAACATGGAAAATTTCATGTTTCCTTTAAAATACTACTTTATTGTAAAATATAATCCATTGCTATACAAAATACTTTACAAATTGAGAGAGCAATGAAATCACATTAACCTTTTCTAAAAAAAAAATCAGTGACTAATGTGAAGAACCGATAGAGTAATTTATTCCATACCCATAATTGAGTGATACTGCTGGAGGCAGGGGATGGTGGCTTGATGCCTGACGTCTGTATAAAATCTCAGTGAAGGTGTGGAAAAAGAAACAGGACTTTGAAAGTGACCTTACATTATTAAAGGTAGCCTGTCTGCCTTGCATGGCATTGATCTCAGTGCACAGAAAACTGAAAGCTTTGAAGTGTTAGAAATGGGTGAATCAGTAATAAAGCACTAATGTGAGCTGCTAGCATTTTTGAATTGCAATGTATACGGCTAATATTACGTGCCTTGTAGCATGCCAGCTAGTTAGAAGCACCCTGCCTGTAGAAACAGCACTCCCTTGTGTGCAAAGGTTAGGGTTTCTAGTATATGCATAAGGATCCAACATTGCGTTTCTCAAATTACCTGTGAGTAGGGAGAAAATTATTCCAATAGCTTGGAAGCTGTCTACAAAATAACCATCTATGCATATTCAATTTTGAAAGTTGGTAAATACAGAATCATTTCTCTTTTTAAACTACAAATTACAGTGGTTAAAAAAAAGAAGACCCTGTGGATTCCAGTAGAAAATTGTATATAACAAGAGCTCATTTTTTCCCAAGTGCTTTTAGCCAATGAATGTATGTATATTCATGTGTTATGTGTTATTTTCACATTATCTATTTGCATGTTTTCTATGCTTTAGGAATCTTCCCAATTGCCATGTTTCCCTTCTGGTTTGAGATAGCAACCCATGTCAGGTTGGAGAAAGAGTACTAAGAATGAAAGAATGGGCAGCCTGACATGAAGTGATGGTCATGTTATTTTGCCCTTCCTTTTTCTTTTTTTTAATTTATTTATTTTTCTTTTATTTGTATGTGCATACAATGTTTGGGTCATTTCTTTCCCCTTCCTCCACCCCCTCCCTTACCCCCCACCCCGCCCTCTCCCTCTCCTCCCCACCCCCTCACTACCAGGCAGAAACTATTTTGCCCTTATCTCTAATTTTGTTGTAGAGAGAGTATAAGCAATAATAGGAAGGAGCAAGGGTTTTTGCTAGTTGAGATAAGGATAGCTATACAGGGAGTTGACTTGCATTGCTTTCCTGTGCATGTGTGTTGCCTTCTAGGTTAATTCTTCTTAAACTAACCTTTTCTCTAGTTCCTGGTTCCCTTCTCCTATTGGCCTCAGTTGCTTTAAAGTATCTGCACTAGTTTCTCTGCATTGAGGGCAACAAATGCTATCTAGTTTTTTGGGTATCTTACCTATCCTCATACCTCCCAAGTGTGCTCTCACTTTATCATGCGATCGAAGTCCAATTCCCTTGTTGTGGTTTGCCCTTGATCTAATGTCCGCATATGAGGGAGAACATACGATTTTTGGTCTTTTGGGCCAGGCTAACCTCACTCAGAATAATGTTCTCCAGTTCCATCCATTTACCTGCGAATGATAACATTTCATTCTTCTTCATTTGCCCTTCCTTTTTAAAATTTTCTCCTGATCAAAATAGCACGGAGATAGAACTGTTGAGTGCTGCTCAACTGGTCTGGAAACCTTCTTTGCTTTCCTTCCTGGAAGTATGAGGAGGCTATTCTTGGGTGGACTCAGTAGAAGGTATCCTTTCTTCCAGGAGTGTATAGTTCCTGGGTGCTATCTAGTCAGGACTCTGAGCATTTGTATTGGGATCTGCTGCTCCAGTCTTCACCCAAGGGTGATGATCATGACCAAAGAAATCCTGCCCCAGGTGGTAGGAAATAGGTATGTTTCTTATAAGCAATAAACTGCTTCAACAATTGGTCAGTAATAGTGTTTATCTAGAAGCAAGTTCATGGCACCAAACAGATGGTTATTCTAGAAGTTTTACTCATCTGTCACTCGAGCAGTGACTGACAGATTTCTGTCTATTCATGTATGTGTCTGCATGTAACTTAATATGCTTCAGCCAATGCAGATCTCTTTTCAATGAGAGTGGTGGGCTAAAATGTCCAGCAATTGTTTTTGAAGCTTATTTCATTTACTTGATTGTATGTATCACGTTTGGCTGTGACTGAAACATATTTATCTTTTTGATAATTTTTATATCTACTCAGCTTCCTTGAGACAAGCCAGCAAATTAGATATCTGTGTGTCCTATTAGCAATGCATTTTAGTTACATTAACAAATGAAAAGTGATCTATTCCTCTTGACAGCTGGTCTCCATAAAAAGTAACTCTTAATACTAGAGGTCATCTGGAGCCTACTACCAATGAAACCATCAAGTGATATCATCTGCCTTTGATTATGTTTTTAGAAGTGTTACTGATAAGTCAGCAGTATTTCCCAATATTTGCAGATAGCATATTTAAGATGCTGTAATAACAGATCACAGAGGAAGCTCACATGAGATCTGATTGTAGGTCCATGTCAGTATCCTTGTTGATGTGTTCACTTTCTGTGATTAAATTAAAACTTTTTCATTTTTTTTCTCTCTAATCTAATGTCTTTCAGTTGTTCGAACCCACAGAATGTGGAAATGGATTTGTGGAAGCTGGGGAGGAGTGTGATTGTGGTTTCCATGTGGTAGGTTTAAGAGACTTTCTCTGCCTTCCTTCAGTATAGTTCTTCCCCAGAGCTAACAAGAATAGCATTAGCGATCATTCATCATGGTCTCAGTGCCTTTCTTTCTTATTTCTGATCAGTGCTCCTCTCAGCTCAGACACGTTAGAATTAGTCATGTCCTCATGGCCTTGTCTGAAAAACCCTAATGGATTTTTTCTTACCAAATTTTCAACCTCTTAGAAATTCATAGCTGATACTTATCACAGACAAGTTTACAAAATCATGAAACTTTTCTCTAGGTTTTATGTGACTTTTGTCTTTGTAAAACTAAAGTGGGTATCAAGAACATAGGAGAGCTTGCTGGGGGTTGTCTGCTAAGCAATTAGCCTGCTCTTTGGTAGATCAGCCCTTTCATGGGAGGTCAGACTCTGCTAAGAAATAGGGCAGGAAGGAGTCCATCATTGTTTAAGTGATTAATTCTTTCCTAAAATATTTGCCTATTATTATGTAAGTAAGTCTCATTTGGGTTATGCATAAGTCATATGTGGAAAGAACACTGAATAGGCAGTGAGGAAGGTTCCTGGCTTACTCACATGAAGTATTTTCTCTAGGAATGCTACGGATTGTGCTGCAAGAAGTGCTCACTCTCCAATGGAGCCCACTGTAGTGATGGCCCCTGCTGTAATAGTACCTCATGCCTTGTGAGTTCCTGACAGTTTCATTTTTTCTTTTAATTGACAGATTAGCTAAATAGCTCAGTATTTACATTGAGCTTTTGTATAGCTTGTCATAAATATGCATATTAACCTGGTGATTGTAAACAATCAAAAATTCTACCCCACTTGAATAGGTCACCAATTCACCTTTACTGTTACTCACTATCTACTGCCTGTCCTCCAGTACCTTCTTAGGAGAATATACTTCTACTGCTTCCAAAATAAACATTAAGTTGCCCTACTAACACAGATGAGAGTCAAATTAAATTGTTGTGTATTAGAGGGACAATTTCTGTGATCTTTTAAATAATATGACCTACTTGAAGTTTCCTTCTAAACTTATCCTAATTTACTTTAGACCAGTAAATTAAGAGCTAGTGCTCACATTGTTTAATTGGCTTTTTGAACCTTTTATGAAGTCAGGAAAGACAAATAAGGGTATAATGGAGTATGTTCATATGTGTATGTACACAGTTTGTGTGTATGTGTGGTCACAGTCTTCCATCTACAGTGACCTCCAGTTACTTTGAAAAGTCATTTTTAAAATTCTTTTTCTCATATGTAAGACCTGTGATTTTCCTGATTACCCTAAAAATCACATGATTTTATTATTTTTCAATACCACGGGATATTATCTATTACAATATTCTAAAAGATTCTAGTATAATGTATACTTGCTTCATGTTCCCTACCATTTTATAGGTTGCTTGAGGCTAATGAGCCTTCCTTCATCTTCACCCTTTCCCTCCCCAGACATACAAAATGTTTTGTATATCAAAGGCAATTTCTGACAGTGCTGAAAGTAATTCATAAAGTTGTATTCATTGTAACTTTATTGTGTATATTTATTTAAGGCAAGGTTAATAGCCAAGCTAATGGATAAAGTAGTGAAGGCTGGATATGTATATCTCCTTCAGAGAGTTCTTAAATGTCTATATTACAGTATTGCTCATTTTTATGTTAAGCTACATCAATACTTCTTCTTTACATAATTTTCAATACATTGTTTTCCTAACAAGGAGATAGTGGGATTTGAAATTCGAACACTTAATGCCTTGGTGTTGGTCCGTTTTAGTGTAGAAGGTAGCATCTAGGCCTTGTCTCTATCCTGTACCTATTTTATTAATTTACAAAAAGGGTTTGGTGATAATTATAAGAAAACATAAGGATAGGTGTTGAGTATGAGAATGATGATTTTTGAAATATTAATTAATAATAGCTCCTAATGTTGGGTTTTGAATTTCAGTTTCAGCCACGAGGTTATGAATGTCGAGATGCTGTGAATGGGTGTGATATTACTGAATATTGTACTGGAGACTCTGGCCAGGTATGGCAAACTAAGTTTTAGGCAATACATTGTACAAATACTTATTTTAAAGCTTTCAGTATGGATCACATGTGTGAGTGTGCTTTGATTTTCTTTGCTTTATTTTGTAGTTATCTCTAGCTCTTCACCATGATTTTACTTTAGGAAAGTTTGATGTATTATTTTTGGACCCACATCTCCTCTTTTCATCTAAATTTCCCCTCTGTGTACTGGAGATGTGGCTCAAGTGGTAGAGCACCTGCCTTGCAAGTGCAAAGCCCTGAGTTCAAACCCCAATACCACCAAACCCAAAACTCCATGAAATTTCCCCTCCATAAATAGTGCTCTTTATGTGATTTATACCCAACTTATTGACTATCCTCTTTGAGGAACCACATCGTTTTTTATTATATTATTTTTTATTGCAAGTACATTGTGACATTTACAAAAGTGCTTACAGCATGTCTTAGTTAAATTTTCCCCCTCCATCATTCTCCTTTACCCCCTTCCCCTGTTCCTGGAATAGTTTCAACAGGTCTCATTTTTCTATTTTCATACATGAGTACACAATATTTCCACCATATTCACCCTCCTGTACCCTTTCCTTATGTCCTCCCCCTCTCACTGGTAACAATCCCCAGACAGGACCTGTTTTACTGTCCTATCTTCTATTTTTGAAAAAAGATGTTTTTGTTTGTTTAAGATATCTATACAGAAAGTTCCACTATGACATTCCCATGTGTATATATATATGTATTATAACTTGAATTGGTTCATCCCCTCCATTTTACTCCTTTTTTCCTTAGTCCCCCTCTTTTGGTGATTTCAACAGGTTTAAAACTTCTGTATTCATTCTTATGTAGAGAGTACATGAACCATGTTCACCTTCTTTATCTTCCCCTTCCCATTAGTGTCCTCCCCTGAGTGTGACCTGCTTTTCATTCTGTCCTTCATTGTTTAGGTGTTTGTTCATTGTTCAGTGGTATTTTTGCCTTGGCTTTACACCTGTACATGCATTGTGCTTAAGTCAATGCATCCCCTTCCACTGTACTTCCTTGCCCTTTTCCCTCCATCCTGTATTGTTTAACAGTTTTCAGCATGTTACCTGTGTCTTGTTCATATATAGATGTTATGTACTTCAGTATTATTTTACTGTATTTCTTTCCTTCACCTTTAGTCTCCTCTACTAGTCCCACTTCTGGATGCATGTTTTGTATATATTTCTATGTATGTATAATACTGCTTGTATTTGTATTGGGTCTGTATTCCACATATGAGAGAAAGCATGTGACCTTTGGCTTTCTGAACCTGGCTAACTTCTCTTAAGATGATGTTTTTCACTAGTGCAAGAGAAAGTAGGGAATAAATTGGAATTAATCGGCACAGGCCATGATTTCCTAAATAGAACTCAAATGGCTCAGCAACTGAGAGAAAGGATTGACAAATAGGACTTCATGAAACTAAAAAGCTTCTACACAATAAAAGAAATGGTCACTAAATTGAAAAGGCTGCCTACAGAATAGGAGAAAATCTTTGCCAGCTATATTTCTGACAAGGAATATATAACCAGATAATGGGAGCTCAAAATTCCCCCCAAAATCAATGACCCAATGAAGAAATGGGCAAATGTGAACTGAATAGAGCTTTTTCAAAGGAAGAAGTCCCAAGTGGCCAAAAACACATGAAGAAATGCTCAACATATCTGGCAATAAAGGAAATGCAAATCAAAACCACACTGAGATTTCACTTCACTCCTGTTAGAATGGTTACAATCAAGAATCCAAATGATAAATGTTGGCAAGGATGTGGGGAAAAAGGAATCCTCATACACTGCTGGTGGGAATGTAAATTAGTACAACTGCTATGGAAAACAGTATGAGACTCCTCAAAAAACTAAAAATAAAACTGCCATATGATTAAGCAATTCCACTCCTAGGGATATATCCAAAGGAATGTAAGTCAGTTTACAATAAAGTCACCTGCATACTTATGTTTATTGTGACATTATTCATAATAGCTAAGCTATGGAAACAGCTAAAATGTCATCCTGATGAATGATGAATGATGATTAAGAAAATGTCATATTTATATAGAATGGAATTTTATTCAGCCATAAAGAATGAAATTTGGTTGTTTGTAGATAAATGAATGGAACTGGCAAATGTAATCTTAAGTGAAGTTAGTCAGGTTCAGTACTCTCTATGCAAGAATGAATATAGAATTTTTAAACCTGTTAAAATCACTATAAGAAAGGGACTAGGTAGAAAGAAGAAAAATAGAAGATATGAATCAGATTGGGTTATAATACATATATACATGGAAATGTTGTAAGGAAACAACCTGTGTAGCTATCTTAAACAGACAAAAATGTCATTTTTTTTCTTTTACAAAATGGAGAACAGGAGGGAGGAACAGGTCTAGTCTGGGGGGATTAGTACCAGTTGGAGTAGGGTAGAAGGAGGGGAAAGGGTGTGGAGGGTGAATATGGTGCAAATACTGTGTACACATGTATATAAATGGAAAAATGAGACCTGTTGAAAGTATTCTAGGAATGGGAGGGAGGAGAAGATGAAGGAGAATGATGGAGGGGGTGAATTGAAGTATGATAATTTGATATATGGTAAGAACTTTTATAAATGTCACAATGTACTCCTACATTAAATAATAAAAAATTAATAAAAATTATAAAAATAATAAAAAAGATGTTCTTCAGTTCTGCTCATTTACCTAAAAATGACAAAATATCATTCTTTATTGCTAAGTAAAATTCCATTATATATAAATAACACATTTGCTTAATCCTTTTGTCAGTTGTGGGGCATCTTGGCTGTTTCCATAGCTTAACTATTGTGAATAGTGTTGCAGTCAACATAGGTGTGCAGGTGACTTTATTGTAAACTGACATTCCTTCAGTTATATCCTCAGGAATGGTACTGCTGAATCACATGGCAGTTCTATTTTCAGTTTGAAGACTGTCCATACTATTTTCCAGAGTGGTAGTACTAGTTTACATTCCCACCAGCCGTGTATGTGGGTTCCTTTTCCCCCGTATCCTTGCCAGCATTTGTTGTTTGTATTCTTGGTGATAGCCATTCTGACAGGAGTGAGGTGGAATTTTAATGTGGTTTTGATTTGCATTTCCCTTATGGCCAGGAATGATGAGCACTTTTTCATGTGTTTTTTAGCCATTTAGACTTCTTCCTTTGAAAAAAACTCTGTTCAGTTCATTTGCCCATTTCTTCATTTGGTCATTGATTTTTTTGGGGAGTTTAGTTTTTTGAGCTCCTTGCATATTCTGGTTATATATCCTTTGTCAGATGTGTAGCTGGCAAAGATTTTCTCCCATTCTGTGGGCTACCTCTTCAATTTAGTGACAGTTTCTTTTGTTGTACAGAAGCCTTTTAGTTTCATGAAGTCCTATTTGTCAATCCTTTCTCTTAATTGCTGAGCCATTGTGGTTCTGTTTAGCAAGTTATTGCCTATGCTTACAAGTTCCAGTGTATTTCCTACTCTCTCCTGCACCAGCTTCAAAGTTTCAGGTCTTATATTAAGGTCCTTGATCCACTTTGAGTTGATACTTGTACAGGGTGAAAGACATGGATTTAGTTTCAGTTTTCTGCATGCAGATATCCAGCTTTCCCATCAACATTTGTTGATAAGGCTGTCTTTTCTTCTTTGTATGTTTTAGGTACCTCTGTCAAAAATCAAGTGGCTTAGCTGTGTAGATTCATAGCTGGGTCTTTTATTCTGTTCCATTGATCTTCATGCCTGTTTTTGTGCCAGTACCATGCTGTTTTTATTGCTGTGGCTCTGTAGTATAGTTTTAAGTCAGGTATCGAGGGGTCCCCACATCTTAAACGGCACATTGACATTAATGGAACACTAACATTGCTTTCAAACATTTTAAAGTTAAAGATTTTAAATCTTTTAACAGATTTTGGATTGGGAGCCTTCTGTAGAAAACCAGGAGCAAGTGGAACTGCCCTGGCTAACGTGGGACTTGGAGTAGAAAGAGGTGTCTATTGCCACTTCTTTTATATGTGGAGACACATAGCCCTGGCTTCCTGGCCTCTGGAATGATTTTCTGTCTATTGAAATGATTATAGCACTCTAATTAATGTTGCCTTCTAGATTTCCCTCTTAAGTTATTTTAAATCTTTGTCATTCCAATGGATTTTGTTATGTGTGAAGCACTGCCATAAATGTCAAGATATGGAAGGGAACAAGTTTGACAAGTCCTTGGCTCTTATGGAACTTACATTCTGCTGAGGACAGAAAGGCAAAAAAAAAAACAAAAAAAACAAAAAAAACAAAGGTATTAGATGGCATAAAAGAAGGTGCTGTGAAAAGAAGCATGGGGTTTAGGGGCATTAGGTGAGGTGTCTTCTTGGAGGAGATGGCATTAAATAAGGATATAAGTAAGAAAGAGCTAATTAGTAAATAACAAATACAGAAGTTTTCTTCAAGAAATGGAATAAAATCAAGGAGAGCTGGAGAGTGGAAGGAAAGTTTTGAAAATGGCATTGGGAATTAGGGTAATTAGGGACTTAGGTGATGGTAAGAATTTTGGATGTCATTTTTTTCATTTTCCTTCTGACATTGCCTAAAAGCATTTTCCTGTTGCACTTTTTATATACATTCTTTTCATGATTGTATAAGAGTCTAGCACATGGATTTATCAGTTGATTTATACCAGGGTGAAGGATATTTAGATTTGGGCAGTTTTTTATTTTATGAGTATGGAAATGAACATCTTTGTGCATTTATAAGAGTATCTCTTATTTAGGGTTGTAACCTTAGAGTAAGTTTCTGTGAGTAGGATTATCTATTGTAAAGGGATTGTGCTTTCCAAGGGGCTCCCAATAAATAGAGTACAGTTGGAGGTCAAAATGTCACTTTTTAAACTGAAAAATGGCCAAGTTGAAGGCCACATATTAAAGGAGAAGGTTAAATTGGTCTCTTTAGATCCCCATTCAAGTTGTAGCAACAGGTTACAGGCAACATTGTTCAACTTAATATCCTATTGTCTAAGAAAAACATTGTTTTTTCCTTTTTACTTCATGTATCTAGGGTGAAAACATTGGTGTTAAGTTAATTTCTCAGTGGCCTATTAGCAGAGATTTTTTTAAAATAATTTTTTAAACATGATTAGAATGAACCCAAAGTAAGTAATTGTAGTAGAGGAAGTTAAAATACCTCAGAAATTTTCTTGTAGTCTGTAAGAGGTAGTGAACTTTGAATTCAATTTATACTAATAATTTTAAGAAAATAGATTTTCTGCATTTCTGATAATCAGTATCTGTTGGCAATATTAACATTTTATTTCTTTTCTCTCACATTGTTGTTTAATTTTGATATTAGCACTTACAGATGCTTCTAAGCAACTTTTTAATTCACAGTTCATGGCAGAATAAATAGTACTTGTGTGACTGAGAGTGACTGTTGGCAAACAATACTGGATGATATAATAAAGATATTTGAAAGATGTGGATATGTTAGCCCTATGAGTTATTCTTCTAAATGAGGGGTGTACCACAATTTAAAATAACACTACTGAGGTTGCTTCAGGTGAACCTTCTGCACAGCATAAAACTTGGGGGGTAGAATTACATTTGGAGGCAGAATTCAGAGCTCTACTCACAGAGGAAAGTACAGAGATTGATGGTTTTCCTGTTTTAAGTATTCTTACAGAATGCAAGAAGCCCCATAATTCCCCTGTCAAACATTTTAGTGAAAGCTAGGCACCAGTGGCTCATGCCTCTAAGCCTAGCTACTTGGGAGGCTGAGATCTGGAGGATCGCAGTCCTAGGACAGTCTGTTCGGGGAGTTTGTGAGACCCCCACCTCCTCTGATAGCCGGCTGCAGTGGCAGAACCTGTCATCCCAAGCTCCATGGAAGTCTGAGATGCAGAGGATTGCAATTCCAGGCCAGCCCAGGCAAAATAGTCTGTGAGACTCCATCTCCATGGAAAAAAAGCTGGGTGTTGGTAGGATGTGCTCGTCATCGCAGCTACAATGGGAACCTTAACATAGGAGGATGGAGGACCAGGCTGACCTGGGCAAAAAGCGAGACCTTATCTCCAAAATAACCAGAACAAAAAGGGTGGAGGTCTTCATCAAGTGGTAGAGCACCTGCCTTAGAAGTACCAAGCCTTGAGTTCAAACCCTGAGACCACATCTCGGTGATAAGCAACTGGCTTTAAGAAAAAATTTTGTTTGCTATGTAGCCTTGACTGACCTTAAACTCTTGATCCTTCTGCCTCAGTCTCCCAAGTACTGAGATTATAGGTGCATGCTCGGCTAGCACCTGGCTTTTATTAGTCTAAATAGATTGATTAGAAATCTCACATATGGCTGGACAGTTTTTAATAAGAACTTTTCTACTGTTAGTATGGAACGCTATAAGTTTTTTCCTTCTTGAAATATTACAAAAGTGAAATATGACAAATTAAGTGTAGTTTCTGATTTGCTTAGTCTAGGACAACTTTTTTCTGCATTTCTGTTTACTGTGTTTGCATCAATTTTAAAGTGAATAATTAATGATAGTTGATTAATGAGATAATGATTGAGTTCTGAGTGAATTCAGACACATGAAAGAAGCCACAGGAATCTCTGCTTTTCAGCATTTGGCCCAGTATTTCAGGTGTTATTGCCAATAATTTCATCCTGGGAGTACTCATGGTAAATGAAGCCATAGTGAATGAAAGCCATGGTGAATGATGCTGTCTGAGAGGCAGTTCTGTCTTTGAAAGACATAGAACCAAGCGAGTTTCCTTGGAGTGCTCTTTAGTAAGTTACTGCTCCTTAAGAATGCTAAACTAGTTCTTTCTGTGATGCACTTGATAAACAGCCTGATGATATGTAGAACAGAATAACTTCATTGTGTCTGTGTGGGTTGTTCATTTATTCTCTCTGTCAGCCATTAGTAACTGATCACTTACCTTGAGCCTGGGTGCCAAAGGCAGCAGGGAATAAAATATAAAATTTTCACAGAGCTCACATCGTGATGGGAAAAACAGGGATCAAGTGAATAAGTAAAATATATGAATTGTCAGTAGTAAATATGTGCTATGAAGAAACACACAGGAAATGGGGAACAGAAAAGAACAGTATGGGAGGGACTTGTGATTTTAAAGAACATAGTTAGAGAAAGGTGTTTGAGATGATGATGATATTTGAGCAAAGCCACCAAAGAGAGGATGGAGATAGCCATGCAGAATCAGGGGGAAAAACTGAAGGAAGACCTAGGCCATGGCCATGGGTTGGCAGCATGGGAAAGAGCAGGAAATAAGGTCAGAGAGATGACAGGGTGGGGGCTGGGAGAGCAGATAATGCTGAACTTGGAAGGCCAGGAAGTAAGTTGGGAAGCCATTGGAGGGTATTGAGCAGAGGACCAACATGATCTGACATTTATGCTTTAAATCACTCTGGTAGCAATATGGACCATGAGAAGATGAGAACAGAAGCAGAGGATTAGGTAGTAGGCCATAATCTATGTAAAAATGGCAGTGGCCTAGATTGGAGGTTAACAGTGGAGATGGAGGAAGGAAGTTAGATTGTGATATTTTGAATTGAAGCTAATAGGATTTATTGACATACTGAATGGAAAATGTGAAAGAGATGAATCTGGGCTAATGCTATGGTGTTTGGCCTGAACACTTGGAAGGATGGAAGGTCATTCACTGAAAAGGTGAAGACCAAGGGAGGGCCTTGGTGCATATTGCTGTTTTCTTTTCTTTCCTTACTTTTGTGCTGGGTGGGGGTACATTTTGGCATTTACAAAAGTTTGTACAATAAATCAAATATATCCTACTTGAATTCACCTCCTCCATCATTTTCCTTTATCCTCCCTCCCCCCATTCCTGGAATAGTTTCAGTAGGTATCATTTGTGCATTTACATACATGTATACATGATATTTGCACCATATTCACCCTCCCATGCCCTTCCCCCATTCCCCCTCCCACTGGCACCAACCTCCCAGACAGGACCTGTTCTGCCCTCCTGTTCTCCAATTTTGTAGAAGAAAAAAAAATCTGGGAGTTTCCTTGTGACAATTTCCATGTATATATATATTATTAAAACCCAAATTGATTCATGTTTCCTATTTTTCTCCTTTCTACCTTAGTCTCTTTCTTATGGTGATTTCAACAGGTTTAAAAATTCTATATGCATTCTTGTATAGAGAGTACATCAACCATATTCACCTTCTTAACTTCCTTCTTTTACCTTCCCTCTCTTATATGTGACCTCCCCTTAGCATGACCTGTTTTTCATAGTATTGCTTGTATTTGTATTGGATCTATATTCCATATATGAGAGAAAAAACATGCAGCCTTTGGCTTTCTGAACCTAGCTAATTTCACTTAAGATGATGTTCTCCAGTTCCATCCATTTACCTATAAATGACAAAATTTCTTTCTTCTGTATGGCTGAATAAAATTCCATTCTGTGTAAGTACCACATTTTCTTAATCTATCCATGCGTAGTAGGGCATCTTGGATATTTCCATAGCTTAGCTATTGTGAATAGTGCTGCAATAAACATGAGTGTACAGGTGCCTTTGTTGTAACCTGACTCATATTCCTTGGAGTATATCCTTAAGAGTAGTATTACTGAATCATATGGCAGTTCTATTTGTGTTTCTTATTCACTTGTTACTCGTATATATTTTTTCTTTCATATTTTCTTTGGACACTGGAGTAGAGCCTTCACCTTGACCTTTTTTCAACTCTCTTAAACGTGTAGAAAAATTTAATTTCACTTTTTCAGCATAATTTTTGGGGAAAGTAAAGCATACTTAACAAATGACTTGATAAATTGACCGTAAAAAATACTCAGGGTATCACAGGCTGTTCTAGAAGCAAGTCTGCAGTTTAAAGGTCAGAAATGTCATGATGATTCTGCACTTTCATTGAGTCAAAAGGCACAAATATTTCTTGTTTCTGTAATGGAACCTATAGGTGAGTATTGTGATGTCAGATGCAGATTGAAAATTTTCAGGGAGCATCACAAAGTCTTGAAATTAGTTCCTGAATATCTCTACTCCTACATAATAAGCTACTTCATTTCCTTCCCTCTCCATTTAATTCCTTTTACTTTCATGTCCTAGGCAAGTGACTATAACTTGTTATTCTAGTCCATCTCACAGTGAACAAAGAAACATATCCATTGTGTGGACCTAATTTATTTATTTCACCTATGATAGGATTAATTTGGATAACTTAAGGAGCTGTGTGTGTTTTTCTAATTGTCTACTCACCATGCTTGCATTTTTCCTCATCTTTAAAAACTGAGCACAGTATCTGAAGGTATATTAACTAAAAAAGTAATATTTTTCAGTGCCCACCAAATCTTCACAAGCAAGATGGATATTCCTGCAATCAAAATCAGGTATGCTAGGCTCTAAGTAAGTTTATTTAGAAAGGATAGTTTGAAAGGTTCTTTTTTTTTTTGGACAAATGTAACTTTGGAAGGAAATTTACTCACATAAATGGAGTGGGATTCTAATTCAGGGTTGCTCCATGTAATATCAAATATTAAATATATTTAAGTCTGGTGACAAGTTATCCAGATTGAGGGAAAAGAAAGAAAAATGTAATGGCTGTAGAATTTGGAGTCTTACTTGCTGAGTTGTCACCATCTTTAGATAATTTTGGCCTATCTTTTATGAAAAAACATGACAATCTTTATAACAGTTTTTTTTAAGTGATACCCTGATCATTCACATGCAAGAAATCCTAAAAATCATTTTGCTATCATTCAAAGAAAGATATCAATTTTTGCTTCCCATAAAAATTTAAATTTTAGATAATTATTTTGAATTTAAAGAGCTATACTAGGAGGTCTGTTCTGAGCTTTAAATGTTAACCCTGTGATATGTTGTGCTTTTCTCAAGGTGTTTGTGATTCTTACTGGTCATTATAAAAATAGTAGAGTATGGAGTGATAAAACCTTATCTAACTCACCTAGAAAGGGAGCTTTTTGTCAGAATTTGGGGGAAAATGGTTCTGGCTCTGTGTGCCGCACTATGTGTGTGCTTTTATCCTCAGGGTCGCTGCTATAATGGCGAGTGCAAGACTAGAGACAACCAGTGTCAGTACATCTGGGGAACAAGTAGGTCACGTCTTCTTGTTTGATGGCTACACACAGTTTTCTCCTAATGTTGTTCTCCTGAGATAAAGTGATCTGTGAATCTTGTCATAAAAACTATACAGGGGCTGGGTATGTAGCTTGGTGGTAGTGTTCACAAGAGGTCCTGAGTTCAATTCCCAACACCCCAAAAACTATCATAATAATTCAAAAACTATGGAAAACAACTGCTCAAGTTGAGGATTTGTCAGCTGAACCAAAAAGTGTCATTCAGTGATTGTGGCTGTCAGAGAAGGGATTTTGCATTTGCCTGAAAAGATTGGGTTCAGTGCAGCGGTCATAATCACTTTCTGGCTTCTTTCATGGCTTACTTTGTAGTTTTAACATTTACCTACCACCAAATTAGCTTTCTGTTTTTGTTAAGTAGCACATTTGTTTTTAAAATTCCATAATTCACTATCTCAGTTCAAAGTAAAGCAATGTAGATATTACCTGAAGAACAAGTAGGTACATGGTCCTAAGTCTCAGGACATCCTCTGTTACAAATTTCTACTTGCTGACATTTATAGTGCCTCACCAATGAACTTCAGTTCGTGAGGACCAGACTGGAAGCTTGAGAAAAGGTTGTCTGTATTGGCTGAGTCTGGGATCTCCCAAACAGAAACAAAGCACACAAGAGCAAATAGAGCCCCTGGCATGGGTTATTTCAGTGTTTGGCAAATAGTACTTACCTGAAAGGTTTATATTCAGTGCTTTCTATTTGCTAACTGAAAGATAATAAGGTTGTGTGACTTTTTTTTTTCTTTTTGCTGTACTAGAGCTTGAATTCAGGGCCTACACCTTGAGCCACTCCACCAGCCCCTTTTTTGTGATGGCTATTTTTGAGATACGGTCTCGTGAACTATTTGCCCAGGCTGGCTTCGAACCACAATTCTCCTGATCTCTGCCTCCTGAGTAACTTAGGTTTACAGGCGAGAACCACCAGCGCTAAGCTCTGTGTTGACTTTTAAGAAATTTAAACATCAGGGCTAGAGATGTATCTTAGTGGTAGAGTGCTTGCCTAGCATATTTGAAGCCTTATGCTTGATCTCCAGAACTAAAAAAAAAATGTATGAATATCAAATGCCAGGTACCAATATAAAATCTCATTGGAGTAGGATTTGCCTCATCTCCTAATATTAATAAAAAAGATTAAGAGTGCTTATTAGTTTCTGTGTGTCACTTCACTAATTCCTGATGGTGATTCTCTCCCATTGCTCACCCTCAAAACCACCAACAAGAATTGGCAAGAAACATCCCACATTAAAATAGTGTTGTTGGAGCCTTTTTGTGCTATCTGACAAGAGCCAATTTGCTAAATTTTCAGAGATCTGATAAGCTAGTAGATATCACATAGACAGTTTGAACTCAGTCCTGGTGTATTTGTATCACAGAAATTGGCAAGTGCCAATCAGGATTTCGTTTTTGTTTTTCTGGAGAATGTTTGTTGAGCATTCAGTGGTTATGGATAACAGAGAAAACTAAAGTTTCTTCTCTTGGTCATCTCCAAAAGAGGCTGCAGGGTCTGACAAGTTCTGTTATGAAAAGCTGAATACAGAAGGCACAGAGAAGGGAAACTGCGGGAAAGATGGAGACCGATGGATCCAGTGCAGCAAACAGTGAGTGGTCAGCTTTGGGCCATAGTGCCTGCATTTGAGGTCCCAGCTTGCTTTGGGGTGTAGTGCCTGCACTTGGAAGCTCAGCTTTAGAGCATAGCACTTTCATTTGGAGGCCCAACGCAAGTACAGAATGAACACAAAAGAAATGTCACTAATTTTTATGGGTGTCCAACTATTCAAAAACTTAAAAGTATGTGTTTAAAAAATATATTGGTATATTTGAGGCAAATGACAATGAACTAAACTGATACTGTGCTACAGACTCACACCCTTTCTGTAAAACCAGAAAATTTACTTTTTGCTTGATTCTTTTTTTTTTTTTCTGGGTGAATTTGGCAAGGTTTTATTCTTGTTTTGAATAAATATTTTGCCAAAGCATTACAAATCAATATTAGGATTTAATTTTCTACTTTTGCTGGACTATATGGCCTATGCATCTACTATTTTATACTAGTTAAGAGGCAAATTATGTAGCCCATGTGTATTTTATGACATACTTAAAATGAAATAATATATATTTTTGTCATTTCACAAGTAAACACTTTTTGATTTTATTAGTCATCTAATAGTATATCAGACACTTCCCATCTAAAAGCGTAGCTAGTCAGTATTGGAGACATTTTTACTCAGGAAATGCGATATTTTCAGGGCACATTAGTTATAGTTCTCTTGCGTTGAAGAAAGTTGGAATCATGATTTAGTGGTAGATTTAGGTTACTTCTGAGAGTAGAATCTGTAGAACTGTTAACCTGTAAGTCAGAGTTCCTCCATTTTCCTTTCAAAGCCACGAAGACTTTTTCTACCAATTTTGAAGCAAAGCAGAGATTTGAGGGAGCTTCAATCAATCAATCAATCAATCTAGTTAATGATTTCTCTGTTTTATGAAACATAGAGAATGTTGCGCTATGTTTTATGAAACTTTGCAAATTCATGTAGTGTTTTATGGTGGATGAGGCCTTCGCAGTCAATAAATCTTTGAATATAATTCTTTAAAACAAAAGAATAGAGAACAGAGTTTTCCATTTGTCTCACAGGTGAAGTGTGGATGCTCCAAGGTGCTGCTCCTCACTTCTTGGGTGCTGCAGAATAGGAGGAAAGGGGTCCTAAAGAAGTCAAGACCCACGGGGCTGGGCACCTTTGAATTTGATTAGCTTTATTTATTTATCCTAGACAAATCTGATCATTTCTCTTGTGTCTGGGAGGCACTGGATTACATCATTGTGAAAGATCACATCTGTATGTCTGGCAATAGAATATATAACCCCTACTGAGTTAAGTAAAATTAGTATATATTTTTTGAAACCTTAAAAAATTGTGAAATGTAATATATAAATTGAAAAGTGAATAACACACAAATATACCTTTACTCAGTAAGTATGAGATGAACTCCCCAGTATCCCCTGCCAGGGTGAAGAAATACAGTATTCCAGCATCCCAGAAACAGTTTCCCTCCCCATGACAGTCCCTCCATCTCTTTCTTGGAGATCCCTTCATCCTGACTTTTGTGACCAATTTTCTTACTTTTCTTTAGTTTTACTGTCTTAAGTTTTCATCCATGATGCTTCATGTATTATTTTATATTTTATTTCTGAAGATCAGAATTTTAAGAGCTTTTGTTTTGTCTGTGTTTCATTTTTATCATTCATTTCATTTTTGTACATGTACATAGGAATATATGACTGTTTAGTTTTCCACTCTATGTGATGCATATTTGAGTTGTTTTTATATTTTGGCCATTAGGAACATTCTTGTACATGTGAATGTTTTTGTATACTTATACCTAGCAGAAAAATTGCCCAGTCTTAGGGAGTGCATATTTTTAGTTTCAGACTGTTTCCTAAAAATGGTTGTGCTAGTAAACCATACCATCTTAAGATGTATGTGACTATGTTGTTGAGTGTATCCTAGTCTCACCAATGCTTGATCTTAATCAAATTTTTAAACTTTTATCTCTTCTAGTGGGTATGAACTACTGTATTACTGTTTTTAATTTACATTTCCCAGATTACAGATAGAATTTAGCACATTTTCATACACTTTTTGGATGCAGATTTCCTTTTTAGTGATTTGCCACTTCAACTCATTGTCTATTTTTTGAGTCATTGCTGACTTAATAGCTAGGCTGGAGGTGGGTGCCTTGGTGTTGGGTGAGTCATTTGTGTGATCAAGGATCCAGATGATTTCAACCTTTCTGCTCTGTGATCATTAGCATGCTGAGTTTTATCCTCCTGCTTGTGAACATATGATAGCAAGGAAGTTGCAAAAATTGCACATTCAAAGGTAGGAGGAAGTAGAGGTAGGAGTAAAAGGTCTTTTCTCTGTTAGGCAAAAACTGAAAGCAAAATCCTCCCAGCTACTCCTTAGCTTCCTTTTCCTCACAAATCTGTAGCCCTGGGATGCTTTTAGATATAGGCAGTGGGAGGAGGGATGCATAGGAAAGTGAACGCAGGGAATGTGAATGCCAGGATTGGCTTAGACTAGTTATGGTCCATCTTTCAGGACTGCATACTTCACTTCCTAAACAAAACTGTGATTCTGTTGGCAAGGAAGGAACAAGTCACAGCAAAACAATAATTCTGGACAGATGTTTTTGTATTGAAAGAAATGGAATATTTAAAAATTTTGAGGGCTGGGGATATAGCACAATGGTAGAGTGCTTGCCTACCATGCACAAAGTTCTTGGTTTGATTGGTAACATTGCAAATAAAGAGGAATATCTGTAAACTGAATAGTTTCATTTTTTTTATCTTGACTCCTCCTTGTCTTGTTCTGTCTCTTTTTAACATCTGTTTAGTGATGTGTTCTGTGGATTTTTGCTTTGTACCAATCTTACTCGAGCTCCACGTATTGGTCAACTTCAAGGAGAGATCATCCCAACTTCCTTCTATCATCAAGGCCGAGTGATTGACTGCAGGTAACATGAAATGTTGGAAAAGCTCATGAAGCATGACAATTGCAAATTTCAAGAAATCAAGTATCTATTTTTCCTAATTCTTACAAGAAGAAAACTGACTTAGATTTTATCATAACCTTTCATGTGGAGAGTCACTTAAAAAAAGTAGTGTTCTAACTGGGTGCTGGTGGCTCACGTTTATAAATCCTAGCTTCTTGGGAGGCTGAGATAGAAGGATCATGGTTTGAAGCCAATGGGGAATGGGAGAGTTCTGAGACCCCATTTCAACTAAGAGCTGAGTACAGTGGTATGTGCCTGTTGTCTCAGCTAAGCGAGGCTAAGATCTGGAGGGTCACAGTACTAGGCTAGCCTGGGGGAAGAAAGTTTGTGAGACTCCATCTTATCTGAAAAAAAGTTGGGTGTGGTGGGGCGCCTCTGTCATCCCAGTTATTGTGGGAAGTATAAATAGAAGAATCACAATCCAGGTGGGTTTAGGGAGAAAGTGAGACCCTATTACAAAAATAACCACAGAAAAAAGGGCTGGCAGCACGGATCAAGTTGTAGAATGCCCGCCTAGAAAGTGTGGAGCCCTAAGTTCAAACCCCAGTACCATCAAAACAAATAGTAATGTACTGATTGGTAAATTACATTTGTTCAAAATTGTACTAGTTATTAGTAGTAAAACATTTTCTCAAATCATAATCTTTAGAGTAGAATTATGTATGGGTTGAGTATTCCTTACCTGAAATGCTTGGGACCAGAAGTGTTTTAGATTACAGATTTTTTCAGATTTTGAATGTTTTCATATACAGAAGGAGATACTGTGGGAGTGGGACCCCAAGTCCAAACATGACATTCATTTATGTTTATACACAGAAGCTAAAGGTAATTTTTAATATGTATTTATTTATTAGCATATTAATTGTACATATTAATGGAGTTCAATGTAATGTTTCCACATAAGCATATAGCATACATTGATCATATCCAACTCTCCTTCCGTAATCCTCCTCCCCATGCACAGTTCCCCATCCCTGGTCATACTATTCTTTTGGGTCTACTTTTGTTAGTTTCTATGTGTGAGAGGGAACATGTGGTAAGTGTCTTTCTGTGTCTGACTTATTTCATGTAACATAATGTCCCCTAGTTCCATCATTTTGGTGCAAAAACCAGGATTTCATTCTGCTTTATGGCTGAATGATACTCCATTATATCACATTTCTTTATTCATTCATCTATTAGTGGGCACCTAAGCTGATTTCATATCTTGGCTAGTATAAATAGTGCTGCAGTAAACATAGGTATGCAGGTTACTCTGTTGTATGCTGATTTTACTTCCTTTGGACATGTACCCAGGAGCAGGATAGCTGGATCATAAGGTAGTTCTATTTAGTATTTGAAGGACCCTCCATGCTGTTCTCCATAGTGACTGTACTAACTTACACTCTTACCAACAGTGTATAAGGCTTCCTTTTTCTTCACATTCTGGCTAGCATTTTTTTTGATAGTACCTATTCTAACTGGGATGAGATGGTATCTTATTACATTTTCATATGTGTTCCTGAATAATATTAAGCATTTTCACATATTTGTTGGTCATTTATATTTTTTCTTTTGACAAGTAATTTTTACACAGTATTTTTAGTGCACCTATGTTTTGACTGTGATCTATCAAATGAGGTCAGATGTAGAATTTTTCTTTTTTTATAGTTTTATTAGCATATAATAGTTGTATAGAGGGATAAGTTGTGATATTTACATATGTGTTTAGAATACATCTTAGTTAAATTTGCCTCCTCCATTGGTCTCCCTCTTTTCCCCTCCCCCCTTCTTAGAATAATTTCAGCAGGTTTCATTCTTCTATTTTTATATGGATACAAAATACAAATGTGGAATCTTAAATAAACAAAAATGTCATTTAAAAAAAACAACAGGAGGGCAAAACAGATCATGTCTGGGAATTGGTATCAGTGTGTGTGGGAGTATATAAGGAAAGGGTGTAGGAGGGTGAATATAATGAAATACTAAGTACACATGTATGTAAAATGGAAAAATGAGACCTGTTGAAACTGTTCCAGGAATTGGGGGTGGGGTGGATAAAGGAGAATGATGGAGGGGGTGTATTCAATTATGATATATTGTAAGAAGTAGTGTGGATGTCACAATGTACCCCAGTACAACAATAGTAAAAAATGCAGATGCAGAATTTTTCACCTATGGTGTCATGTTGGTGCTCAGAAAGTTTCAGATTTTGAAGCATTTTAGATTTCAGATTTTTGGATTAGGGATACTCAACCTATATTCATTTTAACCAGTGATTAAAATTGATCATTGGAATATGTCACTGCTTGAATACTACATATATGCTGTATTTTTATTACGCCCCTTCCCAGTTTACGCAGTACTTTATGTAGTGTGTGTGTGGCTTACAAATGCCTGATCACATGTAGAAAATATTTATTAAAATATTGTGTATAGATATGAGCAAACGTTTCATACCCAATTGCTTGTGAGTACAAAACACATCTATATATGGCTTATTTTTTTAGATAGGGAGCTGCTTTGTGTTCCAAATAAGTATTGTTCCCTTCAAAGTAGACATAGTTCTAAGATAGCATTCTCTTATTCAAACGTACTGCTGTTATCCCAACCACTTTTGGGATCCTCTACAGAATTATCTTCAGTATCCCCTGAATATCAAACCTTCATCTTATGTGACTGAATATAAGATTTGAAATTTTCCAAAAGTAATTTTGAACATATTTTAGGAAATTGATTGGTTACCAAATTGGATAATGTCACCTTGGTCAAATGATTGCTATTTTTCTGTCTTTGTAAATGGCTCTGAAAACAATTGTACAGGGTCTTAGACAATAAGATCCTTTCTGGGTTAAATTTGTAGTCTGAAAGTTAGTTACTTTAGTGTGCACAAGCTTTCCTTCATTGTACACATTTTTACATATCTTTAACAGCCTTTTTAAATCATACTGTTACATTCCAAACTAGCATATTTGTAAGATACTCTTAGTAATTATAGCATCAATTACAATTAACTTTGAAATTTTAGAAGTATCAATAGAGAAGAGGCAGTTTGTTTATTTTTTCAATATGAGTAGTCAAGTCCTTTGACGTTACAATGATAATTTTCAAAATGCTTTTATTTGCTGTAGCCTTGGAGAACTAATGACATATTTGTTTCTTTTGTTCTTATGCAAATGATTCTCCTTAGTCTTAATATTGGGTGTTGAAAATAAGTGAAGAGTTAGAATACACTTGTAGATGGTATGTGGTGTGATAATTATAACAAAAGGTCGTTAGTTTCTCTTTCATATTCTTTTGTTAAGGGGAGATGGGACAAAGGAAAAGGGAAAGTGGAAAAAGAAGAAACCCCTGTCCACTGAAGCCTCATAATGTTCTCATGAGTGAGCTGTGTTCATTCTGATGTTGCATTTCTGATGGGGCTAATGGTTGTGTGCATTTCTTTCTTCTTTTAGTGGTGCTCACGTAGTTTTAGATGATGATACAGATGTGGGCTATGTAGAAGATGGAACGCCCTGTGGCCCATCCATGATGTGTTTAGATCGGAAGTGCCTACAGATTCAAGCCCTAAATATGAGCAGCTGCCCACTTGATTCCAAGGGTAAAGTCTGTTCAGGCCATGGGGTAAGTAGGCACCAATGTTTTAGGGTGACTGCATTGTCTGGCATCCTGACTTCTAGCTCAGCCATGTTCCTGTGTGGCTGTTGCCAATTATGATTATTTTCTTACGCCCTTCTCTGTTAAACCATATGTTAATTGGATTTAATTTTGTTGTTTCTCATATCACTGGCTGTTTGCATTCACATTCTCCAGATATAACTTGACACATTTGTTAGGATTCTGCAGAGAAAGGAAGCAGCAGGAGAACTATCAATCAGTCAATCTATCTATCTATCTGTCTGTCTGAGGAAATACATTATGAGGGATAATACATGATGAAGGCTGAGAAGTCCTACATTTTGTGTCTATAAAATGGAAAGCCAGACAAGCTAGTGATATCATTCCGTCTAAGTACAAACACTGAGAACCTGCAGAGCAGTGGTGAAAATTCAAGTTCTAGGGCTACAGATGAGATGAGATGTCCCAGCTCAACCAGTGAAGCAGGAAAAAAAAAAAGTAGTGAATTCCCTTTCTCCTTCTTTTTGCTCTCTTCAGGTCATATTGGTCAGGGCAACTTACTCTACGGAGTTCACCACTTCAAATGCCAGTCTCATCTGGGTACACTCTCACAGACATCCAGATATGATGTTTAATAGGGCATCCCATTGCCCAGTCAAGTTGGCGCATAAAGTTAGCAATACAGCATCTTAATAGTTAGAAGAAAATTGATATGATTCCTCAAGGAATTATCACCCCATGTGACTATTTTGTACAATTCAAAACAACTTAAGCTATCTCAGTAATTCACTTAAAATTATTCAGTATGCATACTGGTAACTGTATGTGCCAGATCATACTAGATTAGAATTATCACAAATGATACTCACACATACATAGTTGTGCAGTTATACCTGGACCAGTATCAGCTAAAGAGAAGATGCACTCCTTATCCACCCCTGCATGTATTTTTATTCTGTGACCAAAGTGTTTGGGCAAGTTATCCTGACTGGCAAACTCAAGCTTAATAAAAAAATTGTTACTTAAATTGAACTTAGCAAAAGGAAGGCATTTTTAAATTATGTAGACTTCTGAAATTGAATAAAGAGACATAAATAAACGAAGTGCAGTAATAAAAATGGGAGAGTCTGGAATGAAGATAAAAGTAATCGAAAATAGATTGCAGATAGGCAGGCAATATAAATAAGAACAAGGTTGGAAGGCCCAAGAAGTGTGTGTCCTATGATGACCTAGAGTTTTGGGTTTGGTTGAGTCATAGGCTCAGTATAGCCTAGTGATTTAAGAGTGTGGATTTGGATGGAGCTAGAAAGAATCATCAAACTGAGTCATGTTTGAATCCTGGCTCTGCTTCTTGCTCTCCCAGTAACTTTGGGGAAGTCACTTACCCTCTGTTGGCACTGAGGATGCTGGTATAAGGATTAAATAAGATGTTTTACATAAGGTACATAGCTTGTGTACTTTGCACATAATAAGTATTCAGTAGTTTTGCTACATTAAATAAGAATCACTGGGCAGACTTTTCAGGTATTTCAGTTACTGCTCTAAAATCATAAAACTTAATGCATTAAAAGCCTTCTTTCCTACTATGCCTCTCATTTTTTATTTTGTTAGCAAAAGGTAGAATTCAGCCTTACTAGTCATAGTCATGTGTCTTAACATCTCAGATTCAAAAGCTTTGATTTTATTATTTCTAATAGTCTGTCTTTGAATGTTTTTCACAGGGTGTCACCACCTCTTTCTTTAGTTCACAGATGGTTATTTACTTCATGTAAATTATAAACCCATTCCAGCTTGCTGCTTGGTCTTAGGATAAGAGAGAGGAGACAGAGATTACCCTTCAGCCTGGCTGTAGGGGTTATCACCTGCCTTTTTTAGAAGGTCATTTGGTGGGGAAAGTACCACCAAATGAGCTTGGTGCTGGGCATGGTGAGGGCATGCAGTGCACTGGTGATTTGTGTCTCCTGATCTTTTATCTTGGACAGTACCTCTTGAGCCCAGTATCTACTAATTTATTGAATTAAACATATATGTTTTTCATGTATGTTTGTAGAAACAACTGCTTCTGAAAAAACTACCTGCTAGACATCTGTGTGCCTAAATATCATCATGAATTACACAAATTTAAAGGTTTCTTCTCTTAATCTTAATTTTTCTATAGTTAACAAAAATACATCCAACAATTCAACCTATGAACTGTTCCCTCTTGTCCAGTCCTCAAAATGGTGGAAATATTCCAACAATTTTTATATAGTGTTCTCCCTGCCCCACATCTCTTCTGGTTATCACCACTTTTACACAAAGCACGCTGAAAAAGCCCTCATCCCTCTTCTTTTTTCTTTACAGGTGTGTAGTAATGAAGCCACCTGCATCTGTGATTTCACCTGGGCAGGGACAGACTGCAGTATCCGGGATCCAGTTAGGAATCCTCCCCCTCCCAAGGATGAAGGACCCAAGGGTTTGTGTGATTTCATTTTCACTTCGTTGCATACTGCATTCATTCATACTCGTCCAATGTACCAATATAACACTTTCATAGCTTTGAAAGGAGACGTATAAGAATATCTTCTTTTTTGCCATTAAAATGCAGAATTCATTTTACTGCAGAATTAAGGATTCTGTGTATATCATATTTTTAAAAAATATGTTTGAATTATCTTTTATCCTAGAGCTGAATTAAGAAGTAAATACACAAATTTCCTTTAACCCGGTTTCCTTTCTCTCCATATCACAAATGCTCATTTATTTTATGGTTTGTCTAAGCTGTGCTAGTTTTCTAATGCTTAGAGACTCTGGCTATTCCTCAATATTTAAATCTCTCCATAGAGAAGTTAGCCTTCTATACTTTTTAAACAATTTTTTATTAGGAAGGATTTAGAATTCTTCATAGAACTTTACTTCTTCTAAGAAAATGTGAAAGATCTGAACCTTTGTTTGAATCAGTCATGAAGAGAGGAGAAATTAGAATTTTAGTTAGGCAGAATCTCAGTGGCTGCCCAGAATCACCCTCTGGTTTTACAGAAGAGGATGCCTGGACCCTGAGGTCAGGTAACACACCTGTTACCCAGGCAATGAGAGCCAAGTTGGAATCAGGACCCAGTGCCCTGATTTCAGACTCATACTCTCTTCATTATATTCTCTTATAATGTATCCTTTGTCACCATGAATATGGTGATCATTTTCTCATTATTTTCCCCATCCTTGGTTCCTCATTTGATTCTCGAAGATCTAGAAAAGCCACCAGTCACAGTACACTGAGAAACTGAACAATTGCTAGAACCAATCTTGATATACAATGATGGCATTAGAAATCAGCTTTTTTTTCATGGTTCTGCTAACAGTATTTTATAGATGTCTGTCCTGCTTTTCTCCTGCAGGTAGGTAAATATATAAGGAATAGTGTCATGTTGCTAAGCATTGTTTAGAATGGAAGTTCAGTTAAACTCTCTGAACTTTGATGTAGTCTATGTGGGAAAATATGGCCTCAGTAGCAGGTGAAGCTCTGCAGTCTGCAATCCCTGAAAAGATTTAGACTGGTTTGGGTGCATGTGAATTGTTCCATTATAAGTGGATGTGTTTAAACACATTTCCTGCCTTTGCTTAATATGCCCATGATATTAAAATTCTACAAGAATAATTATCACACCCTCACACTCTATTTTTGTTCTCCTTCTGTTTCTAAAAATGAACCTATTCTGCTTTTCCATTTAACTTTTGTTACTTTAAAACTAGAACAAAACATTCTTAGATCCATCTTCAAAAGTTAGATTTGGAGATTTAGGTTCTGATAAGAGAAGCAGAGGTTCGTTCTCTCTACATTTTCTCTGTAGCATGGCTGTGATTTGTAAAAATATATGTTTATTATAGAAAAGCACAAAAAGGATTAAAAAGACAATAAAAATCATCCTTAATTCCACAGCTCATACATAACTAATTTAATCATTCAGGTATATTTCTTTTTTGTTGCTTTCTTTTTCCTTTTTTAAAATTTTTAATGAAGGTAAAGAATTGTTAGAATAAAGGTACTTACTGGTTCTACAATTTTTAAAATCTTCGTGAATCTAATAATTTTGATTTAATTTAAAAAAGTCAATTGATATAAGTAAAGATCAGTTATTTTTGTAAATTATCAATTTCCAGAAAAATCCAGTAATTTTAGTACAATTAAATACAGCTATATTAACTTAGCTCTATTAATAGCTAGTTAATCTTTTCATGTTCTATAGAAGTATTTATTAATATACTAGTAAAATGAGAAACAACAGAAATCAAAAAATGAAATATTTCCAAACTTTGTTGTAGAATTTATGATTTAATTTTGATTTCTGGTTAAAAGAAGATATAAAGAGAGAAACTGTGTGCTTTTATTTTTATCCATTTAGCAAATATTTATTGACTGCACTATTTCAAAGAGAGCACATCTTTGGCCCATAGTGGGCATGCAATAAATAGTCCATTCCTTCTCTTTGGGAATCTAAGAGAGATGAGGTGCTGCAAGTTAGTGCTGATTTCAGGTCATCCATGCCCATTTGTTACTGACTTGCTGAAGAGTGGCAGGTCATGAACTCAACATATTGATGCAGTTTAGTACTTTCTTGATTGTAGGTTCTGCAGTATGAGAGGTGCCAAGTTTTTCTGTAATTGCACACCTTATCTTCTTTCTCAGGATCCACTTGGTTTGGTTGGCACCTGCTTCACTGAGCACAATGTTTGGACCTTCCCCAAATTCTTGCCATATATAATAAGCAGCACTCAACATGATCTGGCTAGTCTTATCCATAGATAAAGGTTTTCTTTATTGTTGCAGTGAGAGGGTGTTAAAAATACTTAGTTTTATTGAATTTTCATATACTTCCTTGATATGAAGAAAAAATTCAAGAAATATAATGAAAATACTGCCTTTTAGAAAAAATCTTGAATCTGGGCATAAAAGATAAATTGTACCCAACTACAGCACTTTGGATGAAGATCAAACTAGTTAAAATAGAGGCAAATTCTATAACTCCATTTCCATTGATTTGAGAATGTTAGAAATGAACTGATGCATCTGGGATATTTCTTTCTTTTTTAGATACAAGTTCCTGGAAGAATACGAAATTCTACTTCTCCATTTGGGTAGGGACTCAAAACACATGTCAGGATCACCATTGTAGTCACTGCACTTGCCAAAGTTGTCCATAATAGATCCACAGTTTAAAGCATGCTAGATCATTCCCTCCAACTTCCCAAACCAAAATTACTGAAAGACAAGAAATAGGATCTCAGTGTACAAGCCATGTGGATGAAGATTTGTATTCTGTCTCTGTCCCTGTCTCTCATACACACACACAAACATACTTGACAAGTGATTACCACTGAGCTGTACCTCTAGCCTTCTGAGTAAGGATTTTCAAAAAAGATTTTCTATTACATATCATTTGTTTTTCTGTATTGTCATTTATTCCATGTATGAAAACTCTTTTTAGTCCCTCTTCCTTCAACTTGTTTCCACTGAAAGATACGATTTCCATTTGTTCTACAAGTGTAGAATGTCCTTTAACTCTGCTTAAAAGAATTCCCACCTGCTGTAAGGAGATCCATGTTAAGTACCCTTAATGTTTGCCAATTCATTAACACCTTTACACAGTGCTTATTATGGAACACAAAGGAACTTTTCTTGTCTGATTGTTATCATAGCATCACTGTGATAAAAGAGAAGAACTGGATCACATAAAATGTGTCAATGAAATGTATGGGCAGAGGCATTGTTCCTAGGAGGATTGGACCAGACTCTTTAGTCAAGACCATAGTCACCCAGAGATAGAAAGGGCCTTGGAGCCAATTTAGTCCATACCCATTGCTTTACAAATGAGAAAACTAATTTATTAAAGTTAACAGCTAATTAGCAGTAGAACCAAAAATAAAATGTAATCACCTGTGCTTGAGCCTAGTGCTTTTTCTGTTATACTACACTGCCTCATTTAAAGTTACTCTGCTAGTTCTTTGAGCACATTAAGTAGAAAGGGTGAAAAAATAACCAAGTCACAATTAAGTTTATTAGCTGATCATTGCTTACCAGTGGTGCTGATTATGGAATTAGAGGAAAAGGAAGTATTATATTATTAGAATTTAGTATCTTAAAAATAGTGGTTTCTAAATTTTAATAATACCTCAAGGAGTACTCCTTGTCCACATTTACCTTTTGCATAGTTACCTTTTGGTGACTCTCTTTGTAACTGTACAAATCTTTGATTTTGTACCTGAGGTCATCAGATAAGAGATGATTATGATATATGTTCATGTATAATTATATGTCATCTAGGCATTTTCTTATTAACTATGGCCTCATTAGTAGTTTAAGGATTTGCCAAATTTCAAAATATTTTAGTAGTTATGAGTTTATCTTGTTTGGGTTCAGAAAAACTCCACATTGAAATAATATTCTTAATGAAATAATTTGTTTAGCATTCTTTCAGACATTTTCTCAATATATCCAAAATGAACTTTAATTTTTTTTTATTTCATGGAAAAGAGAAAGGGTATCTGATTGTATGTCTAACACATTGAAATTTCCTCTCCTCTCCTCTCCTCCCTTCCCTTCCCCTCCTCTCTCCTCCCCTTCCCTCTTTTCTCCTTTTCCTTTCCTCTGCCTTCCCCCTTCCCTTTCCTCTCTTCTCCTTCCCTTCCCCCTCCCCTTACCTCTTTCCCTTTCACCTTTTTTCCCCTCTTCTCTCCTTCTCCTTCCTCTATCCCCTCCCACCTACCCCCACTCCTACCCCCTTCCCCTTCCTCCTCTCCTCTCTCCTCCCCTCCCTCCCCTCCCCTCTCCTTTTCTTTCTTCACCTCACCTCAGCTTAGTACTGAGATACGAACTCAGAGTCTCATAGTTGCTCGAACACTTGAGCCACTCCACCAGCCCTTTTTGGGTTGTTTACTTTTGAGTTAAGGTCTCACTTTATGCCTGGGCCAGCCTAGATGGTAGGTATGTGTGCTCAGCCATTGGTTGAGATGGGAGTCCATGAACTTTTTGCCTGAACTGGCCTGGAACCATAATCCTACTGATCTCTGCCTCCCAAGTAGCTAGGATTTTAGGTTTGAGCCACTACGCCTGGCCAAAAGAGCACAATTTTTAAATATCTGAAGCATGACTTGTCTATAGATGATAAAATATGGAATCTTAAAAAGAACATTTATAGTTTCTATTTTAATATTAATTACATGCTTATCAAAAACTCTGCCTTTTAGCACAGTGAATCTTGAGACCAAGAAACAAGACTAAAAATAATAAACCAATAAATCTCAAACATGAAAACATATTGCTAAGAATAAACAGGAACCACAAGCACATTTTAATGAAAGGTATGAGTGTCAAACAGGTGGTGAAGTTAAGCTCATAAAATGAGGATTGTGTTATCAGCTGGAAGCTTTAAAAGCGACATGGACATGGAAGAAAAATAAGCTTTATCATCCTGTGTTCAG